TCAATGGAAAAGTTCATAAATTATGAATATGTTAGATTTATAATTAACAGCATAAGAATTAGTCTTTACTGTGAGGGAATCCCTTYGTACCAGAGCTAAGAGGGCTACACTTGGCAGGTGGGATGGCATATGCCTACAATCCCAGCAACTCAGGAGGCTGAGGCAGGAGGGTTGCAATTCCAAGGCCAGCCTCAGCAACTTAATGAGACTCTGTCTCAAAATTAAAAAAAAAAATTAAAAATTGAAGACTGGAGAGTTATGCTCTGATATACCCATGCCCACACCAGCTACCCTACTTTTATTTCTTTTTTGTTTGTGTTTTTGCATTCTGGGTWGGCAAGAACCTGATTTTCTTTAGAAAGTACATTTAATATCTTTACATATACACCTTCTCCTCCTCCTCTTCTTTCTTTTCTTTTTCTCCTCCCCCGCTTCTTCATGTCCTTCTCATTCTTTCCCATCTTATCTCTAGATTTAGGAATCTGTGTTACCTCAAAAACTTAGGAGTCCTCCCTACACTACCTGCAGTGAAGAATAGTGGTGACAACACCAATTACCCTAGGAACCCCTTCATAACACCAGCGCGGTGGGGGCGGTGCTTAACAAAAGATTGGACCAAAGATAAAGATAGTTGAAGAGAGGGTCAGCCAGAGACAGTACTTCTATTAAGGTTAGCAAAAATTCTGTCTGTGAAGGAAGTGGTCATTTATTAGACACCTTCTTAAAAAGATGTAAATTGAAACAAGATCAAAGTGCCCTCTCTGCATGTCTGGAGGAAGCACTCAACTAAACCATGTTTATAAATTAAAACAAAAAATTGAAAATGATAACGTATTTTGAAGTTCTGAAGAAAAAAATAATCGTGATATGATGTCATGGAAATGGAAGGGTGATCTATGTTACAGGCTGAAAAGGGGGACATTGTACAGTGCAAACGTGTCAACATGGCAATGTGCTATGTCTGACATTACTCAGATAGGAGCCCAGAAGAAAAGGATTCCAGTTGATCCTATTGTGAACCCTTATGAAGTTCATCCTGCACTGGCAGTCAACTGCCTTCTCATTGTTTTCGAGTGATTATTTAAGCATAACCAACTTTAAAAAAAAAGTTGCTATTTTACATATATACTAGAATTTTTTTTTTTTTATTGGTCGTTCATAACATTACATAGTTCTTAATACATTCATTCACGCTTCAAGAATCCAAAGACAATCATTTACATGTCTACATTAACAATGTTTTGGCTCCAGGCTCCCTCTACTGTCTCCAAAATAATAAACATTTTATGGCACCCTCTGGACTAGATTCAATTATTTATGAAAGTGAAAACAAACACAGTCTTCTGCAAGTAAAGGATATCCTCAATATGGTAATCAGGAAGTTCAATATTTGGAGAAAGGTGAAAAATATATACCAATTCATGAAGTATTTGTATAAATAGAGCCATATGAAGTTGCCATCATTTGCCCATTTCTTATCCATATATGACAATTTCATATAGGTTGACCTAATATAAAAAAAAAAAAAACAATTGTCAAAGAATAGAGTTTGGTGGGGGATAAGAGAGTATGTGTTGTAGGGGTGGCCATTGCTTTTAATAAATCATCTCTATTATGAAATTTTATTCCTAAATGTACTAGTTAATTTACCTATCTCTTGACCAAAACTACACTAAGTTCAGTGCTTTATAGGATTAAACTTGGGTTTAAAAGAAAGAAATCTAGCCAGGTGCTGTGGTGCAAACTTATAACAAGTTAGAGGCCAGCCTCAGCAACTTAGTAAGACCCTATCTCAAAGTACAAAAGTAAAAAAAGAAGTTGGGATGTAGCTCAGTGATAAAGAGCTCCTGGATTCAATCCCCAGTATCAGGAGGGGGAGGGGAGGAGAAGGAGAAGAGGAAGGAAAGAAAGGGAGGGAGGTATCTGTCTTCAGTTTAATAAGTGTGAAGAGAAAAAAAATGCTTCACACAAAAAGATAAATGAAAGAAATGTAGAAAAGCCATATGTTTACAAGAGGCAAGCTGGAAATAAAATACTGTAGTTAACATTTTACTGTGAGTAGAGGAAGTAAGGCAATTTGCATAGACTTCAAACAATCTCACCCTATTGAGAAAACCAGCAAATCCTGAAAAGAATTAGAGGTAAAAGCCAAAGTTAATAGGCTTCAAATATTCTTGGTGTTTCACAGTAACTAACAAGAAAGCATCTTCTGGGTAAGTTCACAMTTTGCACACAATCAATATTAATTTTGTAGTTGGTACTTTTCCAAAGAGTTAATATTTTACAGTTCAGAATTTTAGTTTGTTTGTCTTTGAAACACAAAGAATGCCTTTTGAAGTTATGTTTTCATAGTCCTAAGATTTCAAAGAGTGAAAAATGCCATCAAAGATTTATTTACAAAGATGTTTGTCAAAACCTTATTTTTATAGTTACTCTTCATCATTTAAGGCTTATGCCAAACCTTGTGCTGAGCAATATGTCTTTTTGATACAATAAATTATAGGACAAAAACTGGAAATTTCCAGTTGGGGACTGGTTGAATAAATTATGGATAAAGTGTGTTTTATATATTATGTAATATTATATGGCCATTAAAATGTTTTGAAGACTTAAAAGACATTGGGGAAATGTTCACGAGAGAATGTTAAGCAAAAAGGAATGCTAGTAATGTGTATGCCATCAAATACAAATGTTATTAAATAAAATATATATGTGCACAAAAAAGTTAAAAGGAAAAATTGAAGTAGTAACTGAAGTTATTACTGGGCAATGGTATTCTGGGTGGGTTTTACTTATTTATTTTTCATGTGCTTTTCTTTATGTTACATATTGTCTAATATGAGCATGTGTTAGGTTTTTGGGTTTCGGGGGGGTAGGTGTGGATTGCAGGTCTGGGGATTGAACCCAGAACCTTGTGCAGGCTAGACACTCTACCGCTGAGCTGTACACCCCCCAGCCCCTGCATTGGTTTTATAATCAGAAAAACATTAAGTGCTATTTAAACATTTTTATATCATGCTCTGCTTATATTCAAATCTATTTTTAAAAAATGAAACCATAGAGTTTAATAAAAGCCAGTTGTTTTGGGGTGATGTAATATTTGCCTAAGAGCATTTGGCTTTTTCCCTTCATATTATTAAAACAAATCCTCACTAGATAGACACTTTTTGGTAATTTATTCAGTGGTTTGAATGTACAGGTTGGAGCTAAACTATGCTTTACTTTTGAGTATTACACCAATAATTTCTGCACTAAAATTATAGAGATAGGTGAATTATCTCTGAAGTCATACAAATAAAGATGAAACGTAATGCCTTTTTATCAAAGTGAGGTAAAATAACCATGTGGATTTGAATAAGCACTGGGTCAGGCACTTTACCTAAATACAGCTACCCTGAAATAGGTACTTCTATTCACATTCACAATGTAGTAGAAGTAGTAATGCTACCTAAGAGTTATTGATCAGATGCCATGGGCCAGTCTCTGTGTCAACAGCTTTACTTTTTTTTTTTTTTTTTTTTTTTTAATCTCTGCTAAGAGTCTACAGCACCAAGTTGTATATGCATCCCTGCTTGGCATTTGACAACCCTGAGGTGTAAGGTGGGACCTAGCCCCAGGTAGAGAGAATACTTTAGTTCTCCAAGATCATTAATCTATTCTTGCCCTTTCTTTCAAGAACAATAAACTTAAAAAACCCTGAACTTGAGCTCTTCTGTGCGGAGGGAAGCAGGTCAGAAGAGAAAGTTTAATCAATTTGATGCTTTCTTATACTTCCCAGTTACCTATTTATCAAGACTAAGCAAATTTAGCAAAACTATTGTTTTCAAAAGTGTTGATAGAAATAGATGAATAGCTGATAGAAATAGATAATAGTAGAAATGTCTTCCACTAAACTTCAGACATCAGCCTTTGTAAGGGTATCCCTGTAACAGGAATGTATTTGTCTATGACTTCATTGAGTTCTTAAATTTCATTCTGGCTTTTTATTTTTGCCTCTTTTCTATCATCTATGACTCACACAAGATTTAGAGAGTAAATATGGACAAATAATTAATAGAATTTCAAAATAATTATATATATATATATATATATTCTTGATTCCTGACTGGTCTAATTGGTTCCATTTTAATAATAATAATAATAAACAATAATAGCCATAATTAAGTAACACTAACATTTTTATCATATGAAGTTCATGACCATCTACCAGGTACATATCCCCAGAGAGTACCCAAATCCAGAGGTTAAATAGTGATTATACTTCATATTATGTGGCTACTACATGAAATACAAAGCCAGATTTGATTCCAACAAAGGGGCTTCCTTCAAAACACGTTGCCTAGCAACAAATAGAATCTAGTGACTTCCAAATCCCAAGTGCTGAAAACCCAGCAATTCTTTCCTAGAGGACAAGCCTGAGGGACAATTAGAATTTCTTAATAAAAAAGCTTTACCACACTTGAATCAAATGTATAAAATATGATGTGTGAAGAGCATTGTAATGTTTTGAACAACCAAAAAAAAAAAAAAAAAAAGCTTTACCACACTCTTCCATGGCCAAAACAGTTATTTAAGCCCATAAATACCTCCTACTGGCCGGGATGGATAGCTGAGTAGCAGCCTCAGCACCAACCAGACTCATAACATGCCTCAGGCTGGCGGGAGAAGCAAGTCTCTGACCACTTGAATCAGATTTCTGGGAGAACTGGCGCCCAGAGACCGCTCAAGAACCCCATAATTCGGGGGGCGATCACACGTTGGGGGACCAAATCCTGCATGGGACATTTGTCCTCCACATCCAGGGGTACCCATTCTTCCCAATTCAATACATCTTTTACTCCACCCACGAGGCCATCCCTCCTCTTTTCCTCTACTCCCTAGAATCAGGATCCGGTAAGGACACCCACATTTCAATCCCCCTCATTTCCGTCCTTCTCAAAGTAACCAGGGCGTGTGATCAAGTGGGACAGAGAGTTTGTGTACCCGAATTCACCTCGCAGTGGCATCTCCGACACTGGGGGCCTCCAGGATAACCCTGGCAGCTCGTCTGCCCTCTCCACGGTCCAGGCTTGCTCCGCCCCGCCCCGCCCCTCCAACCGCCCAACCAATCCCGCTCCGGGGCCTTCACGCCACGCCCCCTCCGCCTCGCTCGCCACGCCCCCTCCGCCTCGCTCGCCACACCCCCAACTCCTGCGCTTCCTACCTCGGCTGCTTGCCCGGCTCCAGCAGCACTCGGTCCCGTCTCCATGGCAGCGTGGCGTCCCAAGCTCACTGCTCCCAACTCAGCGTCCGTAGCGAGCCGGGCCCGGAGTCTGCCCTTGTGATGAACGGTTTGAAAGGTGCACAAGCGGGTGAGAGGCGACGCGGTGATGGCCAGTTGCCCTCGCTTGGTCCCCGAGTGCAGCTGGATCCAGCCTCATCTCAGACGTCCCCATACCCCGCTCCTGAATCCTCAAACTTMTCTGTCTCTCAAGGTTCGGACTCTGGGGCCCCAATGCTGCGGAGGCGCCACCCGAGAAGGTAGGATCCGTGAACCGCTGTAGTCGGGGCCCTGACAGAGGTTTGTCTACTTGGTTGTGCCTGATAATTGGGCKGGTCTGACAGGAGTGTCTACACCACGGCTCTACGACCTGACCTCTCCTCCTCTCCCCAAAGTGAAAATAGCCAAGTTCCATCCCAGGGCTTCCTGCTCACTCCTCAGTCTTCTCCCTAGTCTCCAATTCCTTTGCTTATTTTACGGCTTAAATAAGCTTAATGGCTTATAGAAGCGAGCACCCCCTGGCTGTARTTACATCCCTACTTGCTAAATATAACTTGGCTCACCATAAAATTGTCGGTGGAATTTGGACCTAATGGATCTGGTTTTCATCTTCTGGAAAACGAAGGGTTCCGACAATGGCTTACCTCTAAGGTCCAGCCTAGATGACTAGAGACGTCCAAAATCAATACTGTAGTTTTTGGACTATTCAACTACTCTACTCTGAGTCTCTGTAGCAATTGCAGTAGTAGCACGAAGCATAATGATCAATTTATCGTTTGGCTTCTAAATGAATTGCTGAAGCTATTTTACCCCAAGAGAGCCCCTGAAAGTACTTTTTAAAAATAAATCTGAGACTGGGTTCAGTGGTGCTGGTGTGTAGTCCCAACTACTCAGGGAGGCCAAGGCAAGAAATTTGCTTGAGCCAAGGTTCAAGAACCATTTGGGCAACAGGGAGGCATGGCATCTCAAATAGATAGATAGATAGATAGATAGATAGATAGATAGATAGATAGATAGATAGATAAATCTGAAAATGTCTTTTGTTTCTTCCTGAAAATCAAATACAATGATCCCAAAATCCAGTTAAATAAATAAATAAATAAATCTGAAAATGTCTTTTGATTTATTTCATTCTCCTAAAAATCAAATACAATGATCCCAAAATCCAGTTCATTAATTTTTTTCCTAATTCAAGTGGTTTGGGATTTTTTTTAAATCTCCAGAGAACAATAGTAGCACTGCTTTTTAATTGTTAAGAATTTACCAGACCTGAGTTCCAACACCTTTGTAGGGGCTCCATTGCAATCATTCCAGAACTCCAAAGCTTTCTACCCACACCCTCTAATTAAGCTTCATCTCAGTGTTTCTCTCCATTCTTTGCCCTGTAGAGTGGCATTTGTGCCACTTAGAACTTGGAACTGGCTTCTTTTACCCAGTATACCTTCAGGACTCTCCTTGCTGGGCTTTGGGTAATAACAATAGTAACAGAAGGAGTTGTAGTAATTGTAATTCTACTAGGAGATAAGTGCTGCTATTATTTGTTATTAGCCATTCTGTTATTTTGAACAATTACTCTACGAGGTAGGGGAGATTTTTTCTTCAATTTATAGCTGAGGAACTGAATCAGAAAGCAATTTAGAAAATGGCTCAACATTATCCAGTCTGCTAAGATTTGAACATARTTGGTCTGACTTTAAATTCTGGGTTCTAATATTATGTTGTTCTGTAAAGGAGAAAATATATAAAGTTTATATCTAGCCACTTTTAAATGATTTTAAGTGATAGATGATCTTTCAAAACATTTTATTCACAGTTGAGGCTATGCAATAAAATATTGTGCCTTCATCATGTTGTTTCTCCATTAAGTTCCTTCAGGATGAAGGATGATGATTAATGAGCTCTTTTACCACAATGCAGGGCCTGAACATGTAGCTTTCTATCTATGAATTCATTAGGTAGTTTATAAAAATGAAAAGTACAAAAGGATAGAATATTTTCATATTGAATCACATTGAACAGCAGAACTCCRGTTCAATTCTTTGCTTTGCTTTCTCCTTTCCTTCTAATAGACAATACATGCAAAGTCCCTATACTCATGAAACTCAGTCTAGAAAGGAAGGCAGGCAAAGAATGAATAAATACATGCATGCATATGTGAAATTATGATAATCCCATGTTTGGCTTCATAAGAGACCTCCATTTTTCTTAAAGTGACTCAAGCTTATTTTTTCTTTGTACCAAAACAACAACAATCAAACCCCAGCTGAACTAATAAGCCCTTTACTAGGATTTTTAGTTGTCAAGAAAGAGTACATTTTTCCTTAAAGCCTGGAATTATATCACATAAAACAAGAATTCTGGGAGCCGTGTTTTGTACCATGTGTAGAAAACCTGTCTGCAGTGAGAGAAGAATGAGGCCCACGTTCAGGAAGAAGCTGAGATGAACTAGGGGGAAAGGCTCCAGAGTCCTTGACACAGCTACATCCACTGTGTCCTGTTCTCCACACAGCTTGAATGTTCAGCTCTTTCTTGGGTTCTGTGAGGCAATGCTTTCCTTTGACTCAGCTCAAGTCACTTTAAGAAAAATGGCTCTTTGGGGCTGAGGATGTGGCTCAAGCAGTAGCGCGCTTGCCTGGCATGCATGTGGCCCGGGTTCGATCCTCAGTACCATATACAAAGATGTTGTGTCTGCCGAAAACTAAAAAATAAATATTAAAAAATTCTCCCTATCTCTCTCTTTCTCTCTCTCTCTCTCTCTCTCAAAAAAAAAAAAAAAAAGAAAAATGGCTCCTATGAAGCCAAATATGGGATTGTCATAATTTCATTCATTCATGCCTATATTCATTCATTCCCTATTTTCCTTATTAGACTGGGTTCTGTAAACATAGAGACTTTGTATTGCTCAACTCCAGTACTTGGTACCCTCAATGTCACATAAGTTGCTGCTCTATAATTTGAGTATAGTTTCTGTGACTTACAACCTAGAGTCCAGACAATTAGCTACAATTAACTAAAGAGTCAAGAACCAAGCATTTTTTCTTAGAAATAAGCCCATGCTGACTCCCACACAGTTGTACCCTGATCCCCAAAGTACATTTTTAAATATAATGTACATTACTTATATAATACCCAGGATATTTTAAAACATAATCACATAATTATGTCTTTATAAATTATCTTCCTGTGTGTACTTTATATACTTATTGAATCAGATATATTTATCTCCTGATTAATACTACCTATCTTTCTACATATGTCTTTTTTTAATATTTATTTTTTAGTTGTAGATGGACACAATATCTTTATTTTATTTATTTTTATGTGGTGCTGAGAATCGAACCCAGGGCCTTGCACATACGAGGCGAGTGCTCTACTGCTGAGCCATAACCCAGCCCCTCTACATATGTCTTTTAATATTTTTTATTCTTTATAAAAATAACTATCTCTGTTTTTCCCCAACTCCTTTCTCAGAATCATCCCTCCCAATTCTGTGGGTCTTTCTCTTTTAATTGTGAAAGTACTCTAAGGCAATCAGGCTATTTTATGTCATTTAATAGCTTTATTCACTCAGTAATATCTGAGTGCCTTTAAAGTCATGTAGGATCCATACTCCTGGGTGAAAACCAATTTCTTCCCTTAAGAAACTTCTATCATGGTTGTGGTCATTCTAACACTCTAATCTGTCTACATATTTATTATGTGCTTTTCCTCTACCTGCTCCTTAGGTGTCATTTCCCAGGACTCTATCTTTGGCCTTATATTATTCCATATAGATGATGGCAACCATTCTCCCTTCATCTCTATATCCTTAGAGCTTAGCTCAGACATACCTCATACATAAGAGGTGCTCATCAAAATTTGTTTCTTTGTGCTAAGCATGCACTCTACCACTGAGCTACACCCCCAGCCCAAATGTTTGTTTTAAGTAGACATTGAATATTGCATGAAAATTGGAAACTATCACAATTTTTGTTTCCACTGTCACAGGGACTATTGAAAGACATCAGGTGATGTCTATTCCGAAAGCTAGAGGGTGTACTTGGTAGAGATTCAAAGGGATAATTAAATGAGTGCCATGAAGTTAATGTTAACCATATCAATAGTCATGAATATAGAGTGTACATCTTCAGATTGCTCTTTCTGGATACCATGACTCCGATTTGAACAGTTCCAACTTGATGAAGAGGAGATTTAAGGTAGCACAAGGCCAACATACTGCTCAAATGCCTGGAGGAGGAGAATAAACAGAGATGCAAATAATATTGCAAATTTTAAATTTTACCTGTATTTTGTGGCACACACCTGTAATTCCAGCAACTCTGGAGGCTGAGGCAGGAGGATCACAAGTTTGAGGCCAGCCTCAGCAACACAGCAAGATCCTGTCTCAAAATAAAAATAAAAAGCACTGGGTATGTAGCTCAGTGTCCCTGGGTTCAATCCCCAGTACTTAAAAAAAAAAAAAAAAAAAAGAAAGAAAAGAAAAGAAAAAGAAAGAAATTAAACTTGTGTTCTAAATTACTACATTTTCCCTGAAGTCAGTGAACTTTGTAAATAAGCATCAGTATTTGTATATTTATGTCATTTTTAAAATTACTTAAAAGCCCTCAGAGATAGTCCATCTCAATCCCAGTGAGCTTTTATCAGCCTTAGAGGACATCTTACTGGCTGTCCTTTTAGATGAAACATCAAGTTGTTTCTACAGCATCCTTGCTAAATGCTAGGCTCTGTGCTAAAGTCTTTATCCAAATTACTCCAGTATATGTTTAAAATTGGATATGTGTGTGTATACACACACACACACACACACACACACACTACCTTTATTTTATTTATTTGTATGTGCTGAGGATCAAGAGGATCAAACCCAGTGCCTCACATGTGCTAGGCAAGTGCTCTACCGCTGAGCCATAACCCCAGCCCGTCTCAATTAGATCTTGGCAAAATTTAGTGAATTCATCTCCTTTGTGATCCCCATTTTTCAGATGGAAGAACTAAAGCTTAAAGAGGTTAACTAATTTTCCCAGACTCACTTGGGCCATGTGAAAACAGATTCTCTCACCAAGAGACAGAACTCTTGAGTATTATACCATATTGCCTACCAAGGAATTCAATATTAGTTAAGGGGAGACTTCCCAAGTAATAATAAAAGCTGGACTGAGCAGAGTCCTTGTCTCCATCAAGGGCTGGGATCTGCCCATCTAGATTTTCCTTTCCCCAGGTGCAAATTTGAAGATAATTATGTGCACTGTTGTCACAGCCAGGTAAAGAGGTGGTGCACTACAATCCACAAGGATCCTGGAGTTAGAAAGGAGAGRAGGGTTCTAAATATAAAGGTGATGCTCTCCCTGTCCTTCAGGTACCACAGGACTATGGAAATTTGTAGAATGAAAGTATCTCTCAGGAGAGGTCATCTTAAATTTCCTTTGTCTCGCCTGTGTCCCATGCAGGTGATGGAAATGGGGTTCCTCTGGGTGGAACAGAGCTGGCTGAGAAATAAAAGCTAGGAAAAATAGAACAACGAAAAAACCACAGGACACTGAAAATATTTTCAAAAAGTGGGGGGAGGTGGGGCACGGGCTAGCCRATCATATAGATCGAGCTTCTATACTAATGGCAAAATGGAGCCCACGCCTGCTTTATTTATATTGGGGGACATCAAAGGCCTTTCATAGAATGTTCTCCAAAAAAGTTACAGGTTGGGTTGTCCAGTTCCCAATGTGTTACGCCCATCTCCCCAGTGACCATGAAAGACCGTGGTAGCAGAGGGAAGATAAAGGTCATGCCAAGGGTACAGTTCCCCAAGGTTCAACCTAAAATCTCCCTGGCTACATGCCAAGACAAGATCCTCATGTGTTTTTTATRGATGGCTCCCCACAGTTAAGGCCTATTTAATTCATTCTTTCATTTATCTTAGAATTTGGTTTTCCACAACTGGTTTCCCCCAAAAGATGCCTCACTTTTCTGATAGACTTTGACTCTCTGTGAGCTTCTCAGGAGGAGAATCAAGTTAATAACAAATTGTCAGGGTTCCCCAAAAAGCAAAGCCTGAGACAAAAGTATATGTACTACTGCTTTATTCAGGAGCATAAGTCCATGTGAAGGAGACAGATTTTTAAAACCAGAAATATAAAATAAKGAAGTTTGGCTCTTATTGTTCACAGTCTTGGCCCTGAATTTTGTATGCCAGAAATCCTTAGGTATGTAATTATAAAAATTTGAAACATCTAGCTTGGAATGTGGGGCCAAGTGTTAAGAGGAAGCAACAAGTGAGTTGTTACTTATGGAAAATTTAAATGTGACCTCTTCCATGTTTAAAAAACAAAACCCTTAAGGCCTTTTCTCTACAATTAGAATGGTATTTATCCAGATATTGCAGGAAATCGTGTCTTATCCTTGGGTAGCTTAGAAAGGCAAAAATCATAGAGAAAACGTTTTAACTTTCAAGCATTAATTAACGCACAAGGGAATTTTATGAGTAAAAAACATACTTAAAAATGTATCTTCAGAAAAAATCAAACATCAATTTATAGGTATTTGTTTAAATAATATTTTATTAAAATACCATATCTTGAAATTTCATATTGCTTTAAACTCACAGTCTAGAAGTTATTGTTTTATGGCACCAATAAATTGAGATGCAGCTGAGAGTTTGATGTATATATCATGTTTTATTTTGTTGAAGTAGGGGAGAGAAGTGGTGTTGTAAACATGAGCTAAGATGAATTTATGATTTCCATGGTCAGCTCAYCAGGAGAGGGGAGTCCTTAGCCAGCTGCTGTTCGGATTTGAATCTAGATCTAGAGTCCAAGTTAGGTGAAATCAAACATGTAAAAGAATTAGAGGGTTAGTTAATACCAGGCTTTTCTTCCATGGAAAATCTTTTCTCTTTTGGTACCAGGGATTGGACCTAGGGGTGTTTAACCACTGAGCTACATCCCTGGCCCTTTTAAAAATATTTTATTTAGAGATGGTCTCCCTGAGTTGCTTAGGGCCTTACTAAGTTGCTGAGGCTGGCTTTTGAACTCCAGATCCTCCTGCCTTAACCTCCTGAGCTGCTGGGATTACAGGCATGGGCCATCACCCCTGGCAGCAAAATCATTCCTATAGCTCTTTTTACATGAGAAAGGGAAGGAGTAATTTCTCTAGATTTTTCAAACTCCATATTGTAGTCCAGAAGAAAGAGGTTTTGTTAGGATATAATTAATGCTAATAAATATAAAAACAAATAAACACTTAATAACCTACTGACAGACTGAGTTCTGTGTTTTTATTTCTATTTTAAATTTATACAAGTATTTAGAAACTTATGAAGTAAATATTTTATTTTGTGCAGGAATTACCTAGACAAGGCAGATGCTACAAAGGTAAGAATGCTTTGGGTCTATTTTACCATCACTTTATATAGTTTTTAAATAATTGATTTTAGCATAAAATCACACTTTAGCATACATAATAGAAATATTTATGCAAATGCTCTTAAACTATTTTCAAACACCTCAAATTAAAATAATAATGATAATGCTAGTTTTTATTCCTGCTTCTATTTTAGGTACCAAAAAACAGACAGAATGGCAGATTGCTAGTGTTTGATCCAAATGGTAAATTATTTATTACTTCTAATGTGTTTGATCATGATTMTATCCTAAATATTAATTAATAATAAGAATATTGGAATGACTGAATGTGATTTTATGATTTAGTAATCAAATATTTTGTTATATGTCATCCAAAAAAATCTTAAATTTTATTTCCCAATGTGACATTTATATTTGCGGACATCACTGCTGGAAAAAATACTAAGTTTTTTCTTCTCTTTCAGAAAAAGTGATGCTTGAACCAAAGGAAGCAATGTCAGAGTAAGAAGATGTCTTTGGTTGTGCAGCTGATCTGTCACATGCCTTTTAAGCAATTAGAACTAGATAATGCAACCATTTGTCACCTAATTAAATTTGAAAAGCCAGAAATGCATGGGTTAGCACTTTAGTTTTTGCTTCAGTCAAAGTAATTGTTACTTAAATAGAAGGATATGTAAAATTAAAAATGAATTTTGATAAAAATGTAGAGGCATGGATAATAATCAYTTCTATTTTTTAATGCTTAAACATCATGTATTCTGTATTTTACTTTTATAATTTCCATTGCTCATTCCAATTTCCCTGTGCTATTTGCTCATTTCTTTCAGAATATATCTGTAAGTAAATATTTAAACAGATTATTTTTATAACATGAATCATCATTACTAAAGGAAAAATCAACTCAACTAGCTGGTGAAATTAGTATTAAAAATCATAGTATAATGTCAATTTAATAGCTAAATATTAAGTACCAGCTCTAGTCAAAGCATTGATTTTAAAAATTTTTTAATGCCCTTCTTGATTATGTTCATTTCCTAACTTTTGAAAAATATCTATTATTTATTCTATTAAAACTTATAGTTTGAAAGTTGATCATAAAACACAAGCATAGAGATTATTGATAAGTTGGTAGGTACATTGTGATGGGACTGTTATACCCAGATTCATATTATTGGGGCTGGGTGTAGCTCTTGAGGAATAATAGAGATGTAGCTAGGATTTTTGAGAACCTGGATTCAACCCCCAGCACTGGAAAAAAAAAACCAAACTGACATTATTTTGGTTTATTCTGAATATTATTGCCTGAAGAAAACTTCACTTTTTGCATCATATATTTTATTTTTTACTTTTGGAGCTAAAAATGKTCACCTTTGCTTATATTGCAAATTTTATATGTTATATACTTTTAATGCATATTTTATATTAAAGAGAAAGAAATGCATRGCAAATCAATACAGAGGATTTATATTCAATGTCAAGTTACAACCAACTGGAGGGGAAAAAAAGCCTTGTTAAAAGACTATTACTCGGGCTGGGGTTGTGGCTCAGCGGTAGAGCACGAGCGAGGCCCTGAATTCAATCCTCAGCACCATATAAAAGTGACTAAATAAAAACAAAGGTGTACAAGTAAAAGAAATAAATTTTCTTTAAAAAAAGACTATTACTCTACACATATAATTAATCATAAGTCATATACATCGTTGAAAAYATTAAGATTTTAAAATTTAAGAAATTTATAGTTACTTTTGAGGGAAATATAAGATATAATTTTTGAAAATGATAATTAGAAGTTAATAGATCTTTGCTGAAAATTAATTACTATTGTGTCCATAAATCCCAAAATTTGTAGATATGCACTGGAGCAGGGTGTAGTCCACATCCCAAGGTAGACGAAGCACAGGGATAAATCAATGCAGCCTAGGTCAATATAGAAAAGCAGAGTGACCAGTTGTTCTCTTGATCTCAATAATGATTGCATTTAACTATCAAACTCCTTTTTGCAAGAACAAAATGATCAATCACAAGGGAAAGGTGGTTGATGTAGCCAGTAAGTTTCACAAATATGTGGCCTTGCCACCTCTGTTACCTCACCCCAAAGTTAAAGGTGAAGGGATAGTCTTTGAAAAAAATAATCAAGTAATAAAATACTAAATTGTGGGGTGACCTTTGCTGTAAGAAGAGTGTGACTGATCAGCAATGTTGATGAATTTTCTCAGTGGAGCTTCTATTACACTTTCTACCCCAATGGCTCCATTGTCTGACTAGATAAGTAGTATTTGCCAAAAGGTCCCATCTAGGTTGAATTAGGAAAAACTAAAAGTGTTCTCTCTTCACCAGATCTTTGCCCTAATCTGATTAGGACTCTAGTCCCAGCCACAGAGGAAATGACAAGCAAATCCATAATACCCAACTCTTTGACTATAGTTAAAAAAATTTTATCAATAGGGTTTTTTGTTATGTAATCATGTTTTATCATATTCTCTGAAATGAAAGACTATTTTTTATTTTAACTATTTTTTTAATCCCCATTTTTCCACTTTAAATAAATGCCTTTATGGACGCAGACTAAGATCGGCAAGCAAACATTACACTTCACAAACACAGKTCTCTCAAAGTGTAGCTAAGACCTTCTCAGAAAAGTAAATTTTAGTTAATTTGGGGTTTTGGCACATGTTTGAGCAATATAAGTCTTTTTTAATTTTGTTTTTGCTTTTTCAGCAAGCTTTTCTTTATTCAATATTAAGCAGCAGAGTCAATCAGTCAAATCTCTAGCACGGCTCATTTTTAGGACTGAAAATGGCAATATAAATCATTTTAAGACCAAGTTTAACATATAAGTTAAAAGAGTATTAATTCCAATAGAAATTTGGGAACATTTTCTAAATGTACCCAAGTGTTCTTTACATACTAAGAAAAAAAAATCTAAAACCTAGGATATCTACCTTCCAACATAAATATGTTCCCATGGGACATCTAACATAATTTACTCTGTATATAGATTTAATAATTAYTAAACACCTCCCATTTCCAAAGGATATTATTACAGAGAGTAAAAATTTGAATCTTTTTTGGTTGTGACTATTTAATTTAATAAAAACTGATCTTTTGGGTCTGGGGTTGTGGATTAGAGGTAGAGTGCTCGCTTAGTTTGCATGAGACACTTGGTTCAATCCTCAGCACCACACAATAAAAAAATAAAGATATTATGTACACCATAACTAAAAAATACATTTAAAAAAAGAAAAAAAAACCCTGATCTTTTGGAGTACACTAGTTATCTGTTTTTCTTAAATGTTTAGGGGCTTTAGTACCATAAATGTCATACTTTCTCACAGGGAAATCAATAGATTTTTGTTGCAGAGAAGGCTGAACTTCCAGCTTCTCATTCTTTGAAATTATATGAGAAAGAATGCATGAATTGAACAGAAAAGAGTTTTATACTTTACTGTTAAAGTCATGATTTGGCCAGGCACAGTGGTAACACCTGTAAGGGAGGCTGAGACAGTGGATCGCAAGTTCAAAGCCAGCCTCTGCAAAAGTGAGGCTAAGCAACTAAGTGAGTCCCTGTCTATAAATACAAAATAGGGCTGGGATGTGGCTCAGTGGTTGAGTGCCCCTGAGTTCAATCCCCGGTTTCAAATAAATAAATAAATAAAATCATGAATTGGTCYGTTCTCATGTAGGTGTTTTTTGTTTGTCAGAATCACTGCTTCCAAATACAATATACCATTTATCTTCAGGCTATTGAGTGTGTTGGTCACCTCTATGTGTGTTTCATTAGGGTTATTAAAGACATTGCCAATTATTCAAATACCCAGAACTATATTATTAAATTCCCTTACTTATGGATATAACTTAGTGAATATAAAAGTACCATAGATGTAAACATTCTTAGATCTTCTTTTTTTTCATATTTTAACATCTCTTAAAATTGATGTCATCTTATACTCACGTTTGGTAGTATTTTTCCTTTCTTGGTGGTACATAAAGCAATGATATGTTGATAATAAATAGATGATATCTTAGATATCATGAATAAAATAGTATAATTCAGTGAAGAAAAAATATCAAAGCCTTTTTATCTGCATTAGACATTAGAGCCTACAAATTCTAGTAATCACTTTTGGCATAACAGGAATCTCATATTCAGTGAGTTTCCAGCTTTTTATATGTAGAGTTTTCTCCTGGATGCATTTGTAGACAATTAGAAAATCAAGGGGGCAGAGGCAAAACAAATGTAAATTATCTTTGCTGTGTATTTTCATTTCCAGCAAAGGGTTTTGATTTAGGTCCAGTATACTGAGGAAGTAAAGTTTCATTCTCTCCCATAATAAGGACTATAACAAACTGGTCAACCTACTTGCTAAATCAGAGCCCAAGACCACGAACTCAGACACTAATGTTCTGGATTCATATTTCAACACAGAAAAATCAATTTTTCCCCACAATATTTGGGGGGGATATAATATTTTACATCTTCTTATATCTTTCTATACAAACTAGAAATTGAGTTTGTTAAAACTTTAAAAAAATATTTAGTTTTTAGTTGTAATTGGACACAACACCTTTATTTATTTTATGTGGTGCTAAGGGTYGAACCCAGGGCCTTGCATGTGCTAGGTGAGCGCCCTACCACTGAGCCACAACCCCAGCCCTTGTTAAAGCTTTTCAAATGAGACAAAGACCTCAAAAAAGAAATGGAGGATGGGTAGTTTTTCACAAGCATGGGTGCTATCTTTGTGAACAGAGTATACAACATAAGAATCCCTTATCTCAGTGCATATTTATTGACATGGGTTTTGGGCTTAAAAGAGAGAGAGAGAGAGAAAGTTAATCTCTTTTTTAATTCAGTTCTCTGATGAAAAAAAACAATTTTATATTATGATCAAGGGTTAATATTAGTGTTGGACTCCCTCCATAGTATAGCATATAGCAATGGCATGAATCTATTTATAAACATTTTTTTTAAAAAACTCAAGGTTAATTTTCTTAATTTTATACTATCATGTCACAATGATGTACCAATGACATTTATATAACTATTCCTATGTACTTTACCTCTGGAAGGATTCTAGGAATTGTTACATAGTAACAAATGCCAGGCAGAAATAGAACTTTTCTACAAAGAAGATATTACCTTTGAGCTATTTAAGGCTATTGCTGGTATATATATTATATGCTTATATTAAATGTATGTTTATGAACCCATATAAAGTATTATACAGAATTCTGACTAGGAAAATTTTTTTTTTACTATCTAACATGTAGGAAGAAAGTCTCTTCAAAAAAGATTGAAAATAAAGTCTCTTTAAAGAATACTGAAAAAAGAGTATCTTCAAAAAATATTAAAAATAAAGATTTCTTAACAAATCTACAGTCTGACCAATGGCCAGGTAATAGCATTTGTCTTACTGAATTGAGTGATTGTGGCTCTTAATTTAAACCTCTTTCCAGGACCCTGGRGAGTTGACAACACTCTAGGTCTAAGGTGGGGCCTGGGAATTGATAGTTTTTCAAACTCAGGTACTGGGTGATTCTGATACGCAGTGAGATACAGGATCCTTGCGTATACCTTATGAGATGATATTATAAGGCATTCAATCCTTGCATGGATTTAAATACCTATGAAAGCATTAATAAGTTCTATTTGCTTAACCATGATTGAAAACCAGAGTGCCAGGCATTAATTTAGAAGCTGTGAATACAATAGTTGGCAAAATAGGCAAAGTTCCTACACTTATRCACTGTAGTGTAAGCATCCTTATGCTGGTGAGCTGTTATTCACTAGGGTGACAATAAATAATGATAATGTACTATAAATTTCAAAAAGCTAAAAGGAATTTGAATGTTTTCACTGTAAATAAAAAATAAATGTTTGAAGAGATATGTTTTACATGATTTAAACATTACACGATGTATACATGTACCCAAACATCACATGAAACCTCAAAAATATGTGCGATTTTGTCAGTTCAAAATAAATTTTAAAAAATAAATAACAGTAAAAAAAACAGAAACATGCAAGATCATTTCAGGGTTTGATAGGTGCTACATTTAAATAAACAGTACCTGGGAGAGGATTATTTTAGATTTAGAGAACAGGAAACTTCCCCATAATAACTGAATTGAATGAGACAGTGCCTGTGACATCATAGGATGTCTTTAGTTCCTTATTATGACCTTCCTGATGACATCAGTGTGGTGAGCTGGTGCACATACTGGTGTACATACTGGTGTATACTGGAAGATCAAGGTGGTTGTGAGCCAATGGAGACTATGAATGAAACAGAAGCAGGTTAGATGGACAGCTTGAATAACACCATTGTCATTCTCCTGGAAGGGCTTCATATCCCTTTTCAGGATAGCACTCTTGGCTTAGAGTCAGGAGTTTCATTTTATTTCATTTGRTCTGTGTTTTTCTAACCTATCTTCTCTGGAGCTCTCCTGGATTTCCTCCTTTTCTTCTTCCTGACATAGTGTTTATATAATTTTTTAGAAAGTAGCTCATGGCTACACTCCCATTAAAAAGGCCCTTTCCCAAGGTGTCCCAGGCACTCAAAATCTTACAAGAAAGGGGTGGGTGTAACACAAGATCAGTCTGAAACTGAAAGACTCCATAAAGCCAAAGGAGTCAGGCTCACTGTTTTTCAAGGAGCTATTTTAGGAAACACGTGGTAAACATTTTTAAAAATKAATACTAGTATATTTATTTTAATATTTTTTGATGTACATTAGAAAGAAACATAAGACAGTTAAGAAYATGGACTCTGGAGCCAAACTGACTCCCAGAAGAATAATTTATTTCACTCCTCTGTCCCYCAGTGTTTTCATCAATAAACAGGAACAAAAATTGTACTACCTCACTGGGATTTTTATATATATATTTTTTTTTCAGTTATAGGTGGACACAATATCTTTATTTTATTTTTATGTGGTGCTGAGGATCAAACCCAGTGCCTCACGAATGCCAGGCAAGTGCTGAGCCACACCACCAGCCCTCACTGGGATTTTGATAGATTAATACCTGTAGTGTTCAGAGGCTAGATTGTTGGTCATTATGATTGTTTTTGTTTGGGGTTATGGATGCTAATAGGGTCTGGCAAAATTTAACTTCTAAACTTTTCATTGTTTATTGCTTAAATTATATTCTGTTTTAGGTGAAGGGGGCAAAGACACAATTATTGCAAAGCAAGAGAAAAATAATGAACATTATGTTCAGGRTATTGATAAGTTGTCGGAATCAACGGATGCTGATGGTGAGGATGATACCAGTGATGAAGATGATGAAGACAGTAACCCTAAAAAGGATACTCGTGCCCCATTAGAGTTGATGGCAGAAGTAAGTTTTACTTGTGCGTTACAATTTAAGAAACTTTAAATAAAATGCTGAAATAACTAATGGTCTTAGTATTACTAAGTACATTAAGCAAATTAGTACGTATTCATCAAGTAAAGTTTTAAAAAGTAATAAAAAAAAAGATCCTTGTCCAGATATAAACGCTTACCTGGCTACTCATCTCTCTTCACTGGGTTAGAAGTAAAAGAAGGTTCTGAAAGTGACATACAGTATTCTAGTGAGGCAAAGGCAGGAATAAGAGAAGTCTTGGTGCCCTTGTAAGGACTGCTGGAAGGAATGTGTTCTACATACTGGGTACTATGCTAGTTGTTGGGCATATAGAAATAAATAAGAGAGAGACATTCTGTCCTTGAAAACAGGCACATTTAGAAATAGTTACAACACATTGAAACACATGCTAATGAAAGTGCTTAATAAGTTCCCTGGGAACAGGAAGACTTAAGTGGCTGAGAAAAGAAGCAGGAAGAACAGGGATAAGAGAAGGATTTTTAAGAGGGAGAGAAGTGAGTGGAATCTTAGAAACTTGAAGGAAGAGGAGAATATAGAAATTTAACTGATAAATAAGATTTCAAAAATATAAACAACAACTGCATATTATACTGATCACATTCTCTAACCATGATCAAATGAAATTAGGCATTATAAGGAAAAATAATTAAAATCACTTAAAAGATATTCTTCTAAATGACACTTGAATTAAAATGAGAAATCGAAATTAAACTTAATAATTTGGAAAATAATGATAACTACAACATTACATATTACTATTTTAAAAAGAGCTTAAGGTTTTAAATGCTTCAATGATGGTGATGATGATGATTAAACTAATAACAACAATAAAGGAACTAAATATCAATGCCAAAAACTAGAAAAATAGAAAACATAATAAAACACGAAAAAGAAAGAAAAATAATAATAATTCAAAGTAAAAATGAAATTAATATATCAAGAGCTAGGTATTTGAAAAAATATTGTACAGATAAACTGATAAATATCATAACTACAATGGAATAAAATCACAAATAGGAATGAAAATAAAAATATTTTAGACAAGAATAGAATTTAAAATGTAAGAATTCCATTGCATGAATCAATATAGTTTTTATTAATATGCAAATAAATGAGATTTTTGGTGAAATTAGTGAACAATAGAAAAACTATAGAATTGTTCTACTTATATCAGAAACATATTTTTAAAAAACTTCAAGGGAGAAACTTTAAAAAAGTAATTGTTAGAGTCTGTAAACAAGTCAGGATGGCGCCTGGCAAAATGCCAGAGGGAGTGGTTTGTGAAGTAAGGCCAGCGAGCCATTAAGTGTGGAGATTTCTTATTGGTTGACTGATGTATCTAGTTTATGCTAATTAAGATAAGCTGTGTGAAATGTATAAATACTGCTCCTGTCCTACAATAAACAGCTCCCACTCCTGCTGTATCAATCTACAAAAGTTGTTTGTCACCACCCCCCCACCCCACCCCTGGTTATTTTGCTGCAGCTAGACTGCGGCAAGTAATAGAGAACTTCTTAAAAATGGTAACTGGGTATTCATCACATATCTGGAAATGCATGAAAAGTTTTTCTTAGTACTCAGTGTCCCTGTCTCTTGCTGAGTAAAATCATGTACTTGCGTGTGGTCCAGATGTACCACACTCAAGCAGGAACAATCATCAAAAGGTGTTAAGTTTTGTGTTTTGTGTTTTTTTTTTTTTTTTTTTAAACTGGTAGCAGAGTAAAAAGTTAATGACAGCTGGGCATGGTGGCGCACGCCTGTAATCCCAGCAGCTTAGGGAGGCTGAGGCAAGAGGATTTCCAGTTCAAAGTCAGCCTCAGCAATTTAGCAAGRTGCTAAGCAACTCAAGGAGACCCTGTCTCTAAATAAAATACAAAAAAAAGTGGGGTGGGGTGCTGGAGATGTGGCTCAGTGGTTAAGTGCCCAGAGTTCAATTCCCAGTACAAAAAAAAAAAAAAAAAAAAAAAAGTTAAATGACGGGCCAAGGTTGTGGCTCAGTGGTAAAGCACTTGCCTAGCATGCATGAGGCACTGGGTTCAATCTTCAGCATTCCATATAAGTAAAAACAAATAAAATAAAAGTATTATGTACATCTACAACTAAAAAAAAAGTTAATGACAAAAAATTCATCTAGTAAATTGTAGCCTAAATAAGTAAAAAAATATGTAATATTTAATGCTAGACTGGGTGTGTAGTTCAGTGGTAGAACACATACTAAGCATGATAAGCATGAAAGAGACCTTGGGTTCAGTCTCCAATACTCCCCTCCCTACCAAAATAAGAATATTAATGCCATGGGGGAAAACTAATCACAATCAAATAGTTTATTTATTAAATAATTACTGAATAATCCTAATTTTTATAAATATGTGTTTATTTATGGGCAAAACTAAAAGGATATACATGAAGATGCTAAACATCTCTAGATGGTAGAAATATACGTGCTTCTTAATAGAGAACATAATGTGTTAATTTAGCTTTTAAATTTCCTACATTACAAATGTGTATTACTTTAACAAGAAAAATAGTATAAGCAAAACTAGATAGTATTAGAAGCAGTGCTGGAAAATATTGAATGTACATAATTGTTAAGTTCATAATTATTCTTTTCAACTAAGAACTGTTATGTTGTTATGAACTACATTCACACATGAAATCTATATCTAAACCAAAGGAATATTCAGATAAAGTGATTGAAGTATTTACTATCTGTGCCAGTCAAATCAACCTATGTTTCTTAAATGATTCGGTAGTATGCACACAATGTGGCTGCAACAAAGCAGAGGTGGCACACTTATTCCAAGTTGCCCTGCCACCCAAGAGACTTACATATCCTCAATTAATTAATTGATTATAGACTCACTCCTAGAAAAGTGTATGTGTTAAAAGCAAAACAACTAACCATTAATGGAGTATTTTCTAGGGAATTTATAATTGACAATTAAATTCTCTCTGAATCTACTTACATCCGACTAATTTAATGTTTTCCAGTTCCTGAGAGCAGAAATGGGCCGAGACTATCATCTTGCAAAAAAATTATGTCAGATGAGTAAGTACAAATGCTTTCACATTTTCCAATATTCCTTTTGTTTCTAAAAATAAATTCTATCATATGTAAGATGGTTCCATTATCCTAAGTCTAATTCTCTGCTAGTGTCTCAGTGGCTCCTTTATAGTGAATGGTTAATTAATATAAGGATTAATTTAGATTTCTAGAGTAACTTTTAGCAACATAAACTAATGTAGACTAATGTAGACTAATTATCACCACTGGAAAATAAATCAGAATCCTTACCATCATGATAAGGGAATAGTACCTTTATGCTTTTTGTTTCAAAGAAAAGTCAGGTGCTGTAGCTGTCGAGCTAGCCTCTCTGAACATGCATTATTCCACCGATGTTGGAGAGCCTGGGTGTGCCAGGCACCATTCTAGACACTGGAAATAGAGCAGCCAACATGATGGAATAACAGTCCCACGTTTATGCCTACTGTCAGATAGATAATAAACTAAATTGTGTGTCATAAATGCTAGATGCTTTGGAGAAAGACTAAGTCGGAAAGAGTGACTAGAAGGCACTGGGAGAAGACAAGGTGGTTTTCAGTAGGCTGGAAGGAAATGTGGAGGAAAGAAGTGTGCTAGGCATGTCAAACAGCACKCGTGCTGGCAGCAGCAAGAAGTCCTATGTACCTGCAGCAGAAGAGCAAGGAAGTGTGGCAGGTACGGAGGTCAGAGAGATCAGAGAGGTTTGGCACAGACTATGTACACTGCATGGGACCATTTGTCAATTCAGAGACCTTGGCTTGTCGCTGAGTGAGATGGGAAAGCACTGGAGGCTTTTGATTCCAGGGRAAATGATCTGTCTTCTCTCTCTCTGGTTTTTAGTGGTTTGACTTGTTGAAGATAGTTGTGGTTCTGGGCTGGGGTGGTAGCTCAGTGGTAGAACGCCTGCTTCACACCTGTGAGGCATTAGGTTTGATCCTTAGCACCACATAAAAATAAATAAATAGATATTGTGTCCATCTACAACTTAAAAAAATTTTTTTAAAGGTATTTATGGTTTTCTTGGTACTTATCCTATTGGGAAGGTTTGCTGAGTTTTTAAATCTGTGGGTTGTTGTTTTCATCAACATTGAAAGGTTCTTGGCCATTACCTTTCCTCATACCACTTCCACCCTATTCTTTCTTTCTCTTGTCTTCCTGGGATTCCAGTTACACATAAATTCAACTTTTTTTTTTCATGAAATCCCACATGTATCTTTTACTTAGTTCTGTTTTGTTTTTATTTCTCCATATTTCTATTTTTCACTTTGTGTATTTTCTTTGTGTGTGTGTGTGTGTGTGTGTGTGTGTGTGTATAAACACAATACCTTTATTTAGTATTTTTTTTTATGTGGTGCTGGAGATCGAACCCAGTGCCTCACACATGTTAGGCAAGCACTCTACCACTGAGCCATAACCCCAACGCAGTTTGTATATTTTCCATTGGCCTTTTTTGGGGTTTACTTATCCTGTTTTATGCTGTGTCCAGTCTGCTATTAAAACTATCCGGTGAGTTCTTAATGTCAAAGACTGTGTTTTCCAACTTTTAAATGCCCATTTAATGATTGGAAAGATTTTAGCTCTCTACTAACATACACCATCTTTCCAACTATTTTGTCCATATTTCCTCAAATATTTTAGTCAGAGTTATTTTTAAAAGGGAAAATGGCAGCTCTCTATCTAAACCTATTGATAATAGGACCATTAACTAGCAGTTGACTTAAATTAAGTCTATGATAAATCCCTTGAATTGAAAATGTAGTGCAGGGATTGTGAAGGGTCTATCCTCACTTGCCTGATACCCACTATGAACACAGAAGAAGATTGGCTAGTTTTAAAAATGGGTTTCTTGAATCTTTTAGAACTACCTATTTTATATAAGAGGTAAACAGTTTGTCCAGTTTAATCCTATAGAGTATTTTTAACCTATTTTATAAAATACTTTGGTCAAAGCTATTTTTAGAGTCCCACAACAGAATTTTCCAATCAGAAGGAATCTTCAGAGAAGATAATGTCCAGTGACTTTCTGTCGAAGAAGCTGAAGCAGAGAGGGGTAAACAACTGGCTTGGCACTACTCACGATGACAGTGACACGGTCAGAATGGAAACCCAAGCCTGCTTTTCCTACACCTTTCTTTTCTCCAGTGGCTTATGTAAAACAGGGGACTCTGTTCCACTCATTCTCCATTCTGTGAATTTTTTCTGGAAACTAATTGTGGAAAATTTTATGCATTTTTTATTTCTCTATCCATCAATCATTTTAGAAAGCTTCTGGCTAAAGCTTATAAAATATATGTACTGTCAGTCTATTTTGGCTATGAGCCCTGCAGAATGCTACATAAACAGCAGGTGCTCAATAATTACTTGTCAGCCTGACTCAAACCAGTGATTGTACAATAAATACCAGGTCAATGGGGTTGAAACACTTCAAATTTATCTATGTTCATGGATATATCCCTTTAAAAATATCCTTCCTCCCTTTCTCCCACTCTTTCTTCTTTCTTTCCTTCTCTCCTTCCAACAAGTACATATTGAGCACCTTCCTCCGACCCAAACATGCTGGGAGACGGAGAGAAAGCAGGAGCCAGGGCACACATGCTCTCAATCCTCTGGGGAGTCACTTTAAACTTAACATGTCTACAGGCTCACACATTCACACTGTCCCCTCTTATAGGTCAGTGTCAAATAGTGGTGCCTCTAAAACTGAGGATTAGACTACAAGAAGAGTGGCTAAGGTCCCCACCAGACACCAGGATCTAGGGTGCCTGTAAGAACGCTGTTTCTAGGAGGAAGAAGGGTTGACTGGAAACATGGGCAAAGAGGCCCAGAAGTAGGGATGCATGGGTTCCCTCGMAGAACAGGATTGCCTGCTTCTGAGGCAGATTCCCAGCTGAGGGTGTGAAGTTAGGGAGGCCCAGAGTCTGCAGTGCCAAGCCAGGTCAAGGGAAGAACCGAGTTCTCAGGGAGAAAAAGCACTAGTTCTTTGCTGCTATTAGGAACATGTGATTGGGGGCTATTCCATAACTTTCTCTGTATTTATGGCTGCAGACAAAATGAATTGTTCTTATCCAGCATGGACCCCACATACTTTATATATAAATGCTTATAGTATAGATATTCTTGTCTGTCCCTTTTATCATATTCTAGCTTCCCTACAAAATACCTGCTTTGTGCTTGTGCTCTCCCTCTCTCTCTCTCTCCCTCTCTCTCTGTCTCTCTCTCTCTATGTATATATAGATAGATAAAGATAGATAGATAGATAGAATTTATATGTGTGTATTTTTATTTTTTATTTTAAAAATATTTTTGGTAGTAGATGGACACAATACCTTTAATTTATTTACTTACTTATTTATATGTGATGCTGAGGATCAAACCCAGTGCCTCCTATGTGCTAGGCAAGTGCTCTACCACTGAGCTACAACCCCAGCCCTGTATAAAACAGTTTTGTGAGAATCATTAACTCTACAGAGGAGGAAACTGAGGCAAAGTAAGACCTAATTCATACAAGGTCAAATGGCTCCTAAATAGTAGGATCATATTCCAAGTCTAACTTGAAAGTCTGTCATTTCCATACTCCATTTCAATTTTCTCATTTGGTTAATAAGCTTATTTTTCTGGTAAAGGAGGCAAAGGCTTGGAAAATAAATATTTTCATGGATCTGTTAGGCTAGAAATGGGTACCATGATTGATGAATATATATTTTTCTTTGTTTATATCAAGAACAATTTATATAAAATAATGCATCCTTATCCCTTCAAAAGTGTACACAAAACTCATTTTCTTGAAAGAAGCCCCTGGTTCCTGGGGTGGTCCCTTGAAGTCTAATTGCAAGCTAGTCTTATATGATTTTGTCTGACTGTAGGGCATCCCATCCAGCATCTAGGCACCCACAGCTTTTTTTCTCTTTGCCTGCCTTTTTAAAAATCTGTGTTGGGTTCCTCCAAAATATTGTATCTATCGACATAGGCTTGAATTTCTTCTGTCTTCCACACAGTTTTTATATAGTCCTAATCGTTCCTCAATCATTTTCCTGCTGTCTCATGCAGAACTTATATTTCTGCTCCATTTCCTGTCAGGCAGCAGGGGCAACCTGGAAAAAAATGGTTTTTAAATGGGACTGGAAGTCAAGGGTCCAAAGTACTTTTCTTCATTCATTTCGTTCATGACTGCGGTTTTTGTGCCAATCAATCTCCCTATTTCTTGGTCACTTCACCTGTAAGTAAGAAAATTGCAGCTCAGTCTTCTCAGGACACATCAGTTCTGCTCACAAGTAGCTAGAGATTCTACACACAAAAAAAAAAAAAAACAGGAAAGTGCTACAAAATCTATATCATGAGTTATAACCATTGCAAATAGTAACGAACAATGGCTTGAAACTCAAACAGTTCTCATTATTGTAGCTCTATTTTGAAAAAGATGTATCTTCAGAAAAGATGGTTCCTATAATGCTGTTTCTTTTCAAGTAAAATAAATGATCCCTTTCTATTAGCCTACAGTATCACCTTATTTTGGGGTTAAAAAAAAAGCCTGCTTTGTTCTCATTTGTCTATATTCACTTATTCCCCTTTCTAATGTTTTGAAGGCTCCTGCTGCATAGCAAGCACTCTGCTGGGCATGCAACAGTAAACAAGACAAGTGTTTTCTGCCCTGAAATAGCTCCAATCTGTTCAGCCCCATAGCATTAGAAGCCCCACTTTCCCACATGAGTCCTGCAGTCAGAAGAAGCACCCACTGAATGTTTGAAAAKAAACCAAACAATCCTCCAGTCCAAGAACCATTCCAGGAAAACTAATAATAACCAATATTTATTCAGCACTTACCATGCACCAAGGACTGGACTGAGTACTTAATATTATCTGATTGATTCATCCAAATAGCCCAATATGACAGATATTATTACAGAAAAGGAAATTGAAGTACAACCATATTAAATATGGTAGCAGGACCAGAATTCATATCGGGAAGTCTTTCTCCAGAATCCTTAGTGGGCAATGCTTCCATTATGGAGCCCAAGTTGGAAAACAACCCCTGGACAGAAACTGCATGTGCTAGATGCTTATCTCAACTCTTTACACACCCTTCTAGGCTGTGATATAAGAATTTTTGATTTGTTACCTAGAATAGTTATTGCTGGGCCAAGTTTCAAACCAGATACCTTTCCCTCACTCTCCGAAAATTGATAAGTGCTAGCTAAACTTACACTCCACTCCAATCCCTGAAATGAATCCAATTCCAACAATAATTTTCTAAACTAGTTCCAAATAATAGCTTAGGGTTTATTAGYAAGTGTTCCACAAAAATGATTCCATTGTCAAATAAATTTGGATAAATCACATTTGCCTCTCTAATATTCATAGCAGTTTTGAACATCTGACTGGTTCTGTAAATTCCTGTGATTACTCCTTAGAGTAAGTTTTTCCTGATTAACTTTCTTTAACCTAGTATCCCAAATATGTATTAAGAATCTAGTATCCAAAGAAGCAAGTTGGAGAAATCCTGCTCTAGAAAGAGGCTTAGCCTCAGAGAAAAATTTAGACTAGTGATAAGTATATTTAATTTCAAGTTAAATGTATAATAAAGGTACCTTATTAGAAAGCTTAAATGTATGTATAATAATTCATAAAATACCTGGGATCCTTAAAGGCAGTTTTTGACCAGGCATACAAAAATGTATGTTATATTAGTTGATTAGGAAATAAAGTCACTGGTTTGACATGTCAAGATGAAAGCCATGAGTCAATGGAGCCTTGAACCTTCCACAATTCTCTTTCTTTTAGCCAGATGAAGAGCACACTTGATGTTTCAGTGCCCCCTGGGGGCCACCAAGATATTGCACAAGGAGTCATTCGATGGATGATACAGAAAGAAATAATGAATACTCCTCTAGGCATGTAGGAATAAGGAAGAGAGATTGAGCTGTAGAGAGATTTGAAAACCAGACTCTAGAAAATTCTGGAAAGAAGTCTGGTATCTAGCACATAGATAATATACCAACAAGCCTTAAAAAGTCCAAAGTATGGTCAAAGGAAGGACAAYAGTCACCTAAGGCAAAGGGAATAAATGGGGCTCAGTGAAGAGGGGAGAGTACTGTTAAGCAGGCAATGACTGGTGAGTAGATTAAAGTTCTCAAATGAAGGGAAAGAAGCAACGTCAGTTTTCCCTATGTGAAAGATGTTATTTAAAAGTGGCACCTCTACAGAAGAGGTCGCACAAAGAAAACTCCTTTCCTTTGTGCTACATGAGATCTTCAGCAAAGGATGTCATGCAGATACTGATGGATGAGATGAGGGATTACAGACATATAGGCACACTGTCTTTTCATTATCAAACTCTCCACATTTGCAGGATTTGTACACTCTTTGGAGAATGATTCTATTCATGAAACACTTTGTCTACTGGCCTATTAGGGAAGCCATATTGAAGTGATGGAGATTGTATTATTTGGTTAGGAGGTAGAAAAATATAATAAGGATAATTTCTCCAATAAAGCACCAAATATAAGTGGAGCATTTTCTCTATTTGTACCTGGATCTATCTGTGGTATAATTGTTGAAGTTTATTGCTTTGTACATTTCTACCTGCTCTGATTGRCAGTTTCAATCTCATACTAAGGATCCTGTTTGTTGAAACACTGTGAACCTTAATAACACACATTCTGTTGTCCATTTTCAGTCCTAATCTATGAACCAGAAAATCCTGAGGCCAAGGAGTTTTTATCACTTATTGAAGAAATGTTGCTGATGGGTAATTTTAAAAATTGAAATTCCTTTTTTTCTCATAGAACTATGGGCAGTCAGTCTTTAAAAGCCCATTATCTCAGGAAATTGTCAAAATGCATCATCAGAAGTGGTTAAGAAATAACTAAATGGCCAAATCAAATGGTTTAGTTAAATCAGCTTGTCCTCTGTGGATAGAAAAGAGGACCCCATTCTCACTGTGGGGTGGAACTGCCAAGGCTCCCTGGCTGTGAGGCATGGGGTATAGGAAAGAGAACATGMTAACCACCTTCGTGTGTTGAAGGGATGTACCATGATTTCCAGGAAAGCCAATAGCCTCTTAATTACCCTAAGTCTCAGTCCCCCTTATTCTATTTAAGAATTTCTTTGACAATAATACAAATGATTTTATAGACCTATATTTTAACTTAACTTTAAACCTACAAACATCTTCATGCCAGTAATAATATATTTCTCACTTGTTCTACTACTTTGATCCTACGTATGGTTAGTGAAGTTCAGCTTGATTCTTCTGTTCAGAAATACATATTTCTTGGTAGGGGGAGGGGTAAGGAGCATTATGGTTTATGTGTTTGTTTGTTTGTTTGACTGACAATATCAAGAAACGTTTGAAGCACTTGCTTCCTTTCTATGGCAGAGAAAGCTCAGAATCTCAAGGAAGATGAGGAAGACAGCGAAGAGGACAGCAGTGGTGAGAGCGAGGGAGAAAGCAGCGAGGACTTGAGTGACGAGAGTTCTGATGAGTGTGAAGATGGATCATGAAGGTCACTGGGTGGCTTCAGCTTTGTGTATTTTCATTATTGTATACCATGCACATATAAAGAAGGAGAGCTGCATCTTTGTCTATTGGTTCTTTCTTTGGTATAGAGAGTTCTTTTCAGTTATCCATAATCTTAGTTGGAGCTCCTTCCTAATATTTAAGCCTTTAGTCAATATGAATTAGGAAACAGTATGTGCCAGGTACTGTGTGCCCTACACACATTAGTATTTAATTGAACAACTCCATGAACTTGACCCATTCTACAGATGAGAAAACTGAGATGAAGAGAGGGTAAGTAGCTTACCTAGCCTCTTGTGCACCTATTAATTTGTACAGCCTAGATGTAGATGTGGACATTATGACTCCAGAAGCTATATTTTCAGTCCCCCATGAAGGACCACCACATCAGGCACATTTATGTCATTTGTTTGGTTCTTTATGGCATATATCAACATCTGAAACACTTCATTTTTTGTTCTTCTTATCCTCTCCCTAACTGACATACAATGCAACGTCCATGAAGCAAGACTTTTTCTTTTTCACTATTGTATTCCTAGAAACTGGATAAATGTCTGGCAAATAATAAGCTGGGTATACACCAAGTGAATAAAAGATGTTAAAGTTAAATGTTTATATTCTTTCATGAACCATTTACAAGGTTTTCCACTTCTTATGTGTCAATTTACATCATTTTACTGATTCTGTAACCATTAATGGATCCCTGTGACTTTCAAATTTGGTTGTAAGGTAACAGAGGTAAAAGTAAGAAGAATGTTCCTACGTAATTTGTTTATGATTTGCCAATCTTATTGGAAGGTAAACATCTTGGCTCTTTATTTTTATTTAGTATTGTGTCATGATATTTGCAGCATAGTTTATTCTTTAGGCATCTTGTGGCTTCGATTATTCAGAGGGAGAAACTGAGCTACATCAATGTATAGAAYAACTGAAAGAAATGATGATAGGTAGCCTTCCTTAAYTTACAATAAATTGTCAAGCTCTGGTACATCAATAACCAAATAGTATCAGAGTTCTACCTGACACACATCTCAGAAATGACCTATTTTCACTTCAGTTTGCATTGAACACTCCTCCTCACCATAGGAAAATCACCAGCTGTTAATCTGATGATGCTAACTTGATTATGGAGCCAGCCCTGCCCCATCAGAAGTTCACAAAATACTCAAATTGATGCTGAAAACTAAATGTGTTAAAATGCGATTTTTAGTTTTAAAGGAATGAAGTAATTCTAAGGAAGAAACTATTAATAAAAAGCCATAATATCACAGACCACATTACAACTAAATCTAAGAATTTATAAGACTTGCTCATCCAGTATGTCTCTCCCTCTTATTCATCCAACTTTCACTTTTTAATCAATGAAAATTGGGGCATTGGCATAGCCTGACCCTACGTCTGTATGTAGTAATAATAGCTAAAATGTAATCTACAAAGTATTTTTAAATTATTTAGCCCTGTATCTTCTCACAATAGTCTTATGAGCATGTTATCCCCTTTGATCATACAAATTGAATTTGGGGTGATTAAAAACATATAAAGTTATATGTTAGCTAAATTATGGGAAGTCAGCTAAGGAAATAGAAACTTAGAGATACCGAGTTACGTCCTGATTTTAGAGATCTAGTGAATCTTGAATCTGTTGTTTCATGCTGCCTCACATATAGCTAACTCTAGAAACTAAGTCAACCAACAAGTTGTATCTATATAGATAATTCAGTCCCAAACCCTTGCTTTCTTCCATAATGTAAAACACATTACATTTATGGTAAAGAACCCAAATATCACTGGGTGCAGTGGTGCATACCTATAATCCCAGCAACTCCAGAGGCTGAGGCCAGCCTGGGCAACTTACTGAGATTCTGTCTCAAAATAAAAAAAAATAAAAAGAACTTGGGATCTGGTCAGTGGTTAAAGCACCCCTGGGTTCATTCCCCATTACCAAATATGTATATCCAACAATAAGAGAATATGTAAGAATGCCTACTCAATAGACCTGATGGGAGTCCATTGAAAAAGTTTCATTTGTTTATTCAATAGTTACTGATGGTCTAGTAGGTTTATTATGGGCTGCTGGTGGGGGTCCGGTCTCTGCTTTTAACCAGCACTGTTGCAATGCAGCGTGTTACACACTGCCACTGAGGAAGTCCAGGGTACTAAGGGAACACTCAAGAGGGACTAAGCATCAAGGGAAAACCTTCAAGAGGAAAAGTGAATTAGCTACAAGAAGAAGGTGTGTGGAAGACAGTGGTGGTGGGGTAACACAACTTGCAAAAGTCCAGAGATATATTGAGTCCAGAAAATAAGGTCAGATTGTAAAATGAACAGAACCAATGAGAGGTGATAAAAAAAGGAAGTTCCAGGTATAAAAGGGCTGGGTAATGTGGGGTCTTAGAAGTCAAGGTAAAGTTTGAAATCTATCCTTAGAGTAGTGGGAGGTATTTGAAAGAAAATTATTGTACTTTAAAAAGATCAATCTGGTAGTCAGGAAGAAAAATATTTTCTCAAACTATAAATCATGATCCATTGGTAAATTGTGAAATCACTATARTGAGCCACAAGTAGCTGAGATTTTAAAAAATTAAATACATGAAATAGAAAATAGTATATTCTACAAAAAAGCATAAGAAGTCTTAATTTGCCAGGCACAGTGATGCACACCAGKAATCCCAGCAGCTTGGGAGGCTGAAGCAGGAGGATATCAAGTTCAAAGCCAGCCATAGTAACTTAGCAAGGCCCTAAGCAACTGAGACCCTGTCTCAAAATAAAAAACTAAAAGGACTAGGGATGTGGCTCAGTGGTTAAGCATCGCTGAATTCAATCTCTGATACCAAAAAAAAAAAAAAAAGTAGAAGTACACTAAGAGAAGTGCACAAAGGAGACTGAGGAATCACCAGGAGGAAAATCAGAAAAGGAAATATGAAGAATACCATTGGTCGTCTACTTAGCATCCATTCCTTTCTGTTGCTTTGTAAAGAGAACCCTGGATCTGTTCACGTAGTCACTGCCCCCATCACCACCCCGCTCCACACACACACAGCCATGAAGCTCCAGAAAGCTGACTCCATCTTCAGCCAATCCGTGCTGACTCCATCTTCAGCCAATCCGTGCATGGCACTTCCCTGGTAACTCTGACTTACTCTCATGATTAGAAGAAATGTTCCTCCATTACTCTGGGTAGGAACTAAGAAGGATGCTGCCCTGTCACTGCTGGCAATCATGATCAGGAGAACTAATCTAGCTGGGCACAGTGGTGCACAACTGTAATTCCAGTGGCTTGGGAAGCTAAAGCAGGAGGATAGCAAGTTCAAAGCCAGTTTCTGCAACTTAGGGAGGGCCTAAGAAACTTAGCGAGGCCCTAAGCAACTTAGAGGAACCATGTCTCAAAATTTTTTAAAATTTTAAAAAGGGCTCAATCGTTAAGCACACCTGGCTTCAATCCCTGGTTCAAAAACAAACAAAAACTTGGAATGAAGCAGATGCTGAAGATGAAAAAACAAGAACAAAAAGAACCTAGGTCCCTGATAACATTCAGCTGCTGCACCAACTCTCCGGGAGCCAGCCCCTTGTTTGAGCTTACTGTTAAGATACACTTATTGTTAAAGCCAGTTTGGGTCAAACTTTCTTGTACTTGCTCACAAATTCATCGTAGCTGATATAGATGTCACCACAGAAAACCAGAAAAGAGTTTCAAGGAAGATGGAAAGATCCATTTTGCCAAAAGTTGTAGAGATGACAAATAAGAACTAAAAAAGGTGACTGGATCACAACAAGAGGTGGATGGTGGTATTAGACAAAGTACCAGCTGCCGCCACATTTGGATGAATTTGAGTGCATTAGGGGTGAGAGAAGCAATAACRAGGAGTTTGAAGAAAAAAGATGGAGTATCATTAGACGACAAAAAGATCATAGTTGTGTGTCACTTAAAGATGGCACCTTCTGAGAAATGTGTCTTTAAGTGATTTTGTTATTCGGACATCATAGAATTTACTTACAAAAAGTAAGATAACGATGACATCACTAGGTGATGTAATCTTACGAGACCTCAGTTGTGTATGTTGTCAGTTGTTGACCAAAACGTTGTTATGAGCACCATCCATGGGATAATAATATATACTAAGAGCTTGTGTTAGGCACCGTATTAACTCTTCCACAAGTAAATGTTTTTAATCTTCATAACACCTCTATAATGTAGACATTCTCCTCAACTTACATATGATAAAACTGAGACCTAGAGAAAAGAGAAGAAATATTAAAAATTTTATGTCACTAGGGACTGGGTTGTGGCTCAGGGGTATCGCRCTTGCCTAGCATGTGTGAGGCACTGGGTTTGACTCTCAGCGCCACATATAAAAACATAAATAAAATAAATGTCCATCAGCAACTAAAAAAAATTTTAAAACATCACATTAGCCTAACAGGGAGGAACAGGGGCAACAGTTGACATTTATGGAACACCATCAACCAGGCACAGATGAACTTGCTAGAAAGGGTTTTACGAACAYCACAAAAGATAACTCACAGAGCTGGTATTAGTTTCCTGTTTTGCTGAAGAGAAAACTCAGAGCAGTTAAATGAGAATTGATAAGTAGAATCAAGATGTAAACTCAAGATTGACTGACTTCAGTGTTTTTACTTTTTTATTTTTTTAAATACCTTTATTTTATTCAATACTTTTATTTAGTTTATTTTTATGTGGTGTCGAAGATTGAACCCAGAGCCTCACACATGCTAGGTGAGCACTCTACTGCTGAGCCACAACCCCAGACTCAGTATTTTTACTTTTCTTAAAATATTTTTTTTAGTTGTAGATGGACACAACACCTTTCCTTTTTATTTATTTGTTTTTATGTGTTGCTGAGGCGCAAACCCAGTGCCTCATGCATGCTAGGCAAGCGCTGTACCACTGAGCCACAACCCCAGCCCCTGTTTTAACTTTTCCTCCAGTCAAAGCCACCTTGAAGAGCCCAAGAGGTCTTTGAGTCCATAGCATTTACAACATGAGAAGATTCCCCAGTGAGAAGAGTCACAAAATATTATTTCAGAAGAATGAAGCCTGGTCTGTTTACCTCTAACACTTTTATTATGGAAGCTCTGAGAGAGTAAGCAATTTTTCCAAGGTCAAATTGTTATTTTGTGACAGAAGTAGAAGACCTCTCTTAGCAGTGCACAGAGCACTGTACCTGAAGGGAGAAAAAAGAATTTCCTTACCACTTCTCACCCACTTCCTATAACCTCTCTGGATTTAACTTTCCTCATCTATAAAACAGAGGACCTCAAGTGATAATTAAGTGAGATTTCATACAACAAACACACCACATGATTTCTATGAGACTTATTTCTAACTTCTAAAATAAGATCATTTCTGTTGCTAAAGAGAGACTGAGAGAAGGAGACGAAGATACAGATCTCTAGTACCCCCAGACTGCCTCCACCACCTCCACCACCACACTGTCCCGCAGTAAGCAATCCTGGACAGCCTATGCCAACATGTTTCCCTGAGTCCACCTTGGTTCCCCTTGGCCTTCTTGCTGTGGGATAGTATATTCATCAACTACTGCCATAATATTAATACATAACACATCACCCCCAAAACTCATGGGTTTGCAGGTTGGCTCCACTTCAGTGGCCAAACCCAACCTCAAGGGGATGGGAGAGAGAGRAGTATTCTGTCCTGATCCAGGAAAAAGAAATTTCAAGTCTCCCTATACTCTGATGCTTTTCCATGGCTTGTTCCTGCTTATGAAATTGAGATAATATAACCATAACTCCAGGGAGAAGATGATTCCCGTTTAATCCTATGTTTAGATCCTGCTTGAGATCTTAGGTTAAATGGATCTAAAGGATCCCGGGATCATCTGTGGCCAAAGAAAATAGGACATTAGTCTGGCAACTGAGGGTAAAAAGAATGAGACCCTGGCTGTGTTGGGGAAAAACCCATGGTACTAATTTACAAAAAAWTTCAGTGAGCTTTGCCACATAAGTTCTTTGCATTAAACAGAYTGGGTTGAGCAGCTGTGATAAACCCCTCCTGTTAGGTTCCTGTTAAGCCCCTGAGTAACCTATCAGAATTAGGGTAACAGCCTGTCCTGAACTAGAAGTTTAAGTTAATAGACTATCCACAACCAAATCAGAACCATCCAAAMCCTTCTCACAAACAATAGTCCCAAACACCACCTGAAAATGGGGTTTAAACACCTATTATTTTAGAGTTCAAGAGCACTAAAAGTAATGGGTAAAATATTACAATCCCTAGTCTTTCATTCCATACACCATTTCATTACAGGAATCTCATGYTAGAAATCCCATGTTTTGGGTGAAAGACTGTTTTGGCTTAACTTTTATTGAGAGGACAGAACACAGGTATATCTTTAAAGCTCCCTGTCATARTTGAAATCCAGATCTGTTACTCCCTTGGTTTCCGGTTCTGTGATGAAACAGTTTCTTGCCTCCTATCAAACGGTTCACTTCTTAAGGGTACCTTCGGGATGCAGCTGTAGGAAAGTAATGAATGCCATGCATCCCCTTCTCTTCTGCCAACTGTACAGAGGACCCGGGTGTTTCAGGTCACCTTTGGAGTATCTCTCAACATTTCAAAAGGCTGTGCTTTGTGAAAAATGGCAGGGATGAGCATGACGTGGAAAGGCCTGCAGGCTTCCTTGAACAGCTCTCGTGGGGCCCGGCTCAGAAGTTGTAATCTATCGCCACCTGGTGGTYACTCTGTGTTCGTGTTTGGAATAGTATGAATTGGACGTTTTAAGATTTGCACAAGGAAATTTACCCATATACTACTCACCCAGTCCTCCTTAATTAATTATGTTAAAATATTTTTGCCGTCTAAATACCAAAGGGCAAGGACCATGAAGAATTTAGTTCTCTTCCTTGCGAGAAATCATTGTATATCCAGAGTCCTCTCCAGCGTTCTGACTAGAATTCTGCCTCCAACGCCAAACTTTTAACCCTTTCCTGCCTCCCAAGAGTGGGGGTTTTGTGATCTGTTGGGATAATAGTGTGGATTTAGCTATGCCTCTCCAATGAGAGCCCACAATGATTCGAGAACTATCTTTGAAGTACACAAACAGCAAACGGACTTATGCTTGGACTTAAAAAAAAAAAAAAAAAAGCCGAAAGTGAGGTTAAGCAACACTTCCCCAGTCCTCATCTAGAGAGACGAATTTAAAGATGAGCACTGCGTTTCTGTTGTTATAAGTTACCTGTTTAAAATAGATTTTAAAGTACCATCTGAAATGAGCCAACAACTTGACTCTAGATCACCTTTACTGGAGATTAAAAATGCTAAGTACATTTTCCAAAATTTTTTTTTTTTTTTTTATCTATTCACCTTGACAGGACCCCCCCCCACACACACACACACGTGCACACACAAAGAAAGAAGAAAGGGGAGGGGACCTGGAAGCCCGTTTGGGCGTCCCTTTCTTCTTTTGCTGGAATATCTTTAAACCTGGGGGTGGGGAGGGCATTGTGAGCGGAGAGTCTTGTTCCCAAGTTCCAACCCTAGTTGAAAGGGATTTTGTATTTGGCAAACAGGATGGAATAGCCAGGCCGCAAGTTCACAAAACCCAAAGCCCAGCAGAGAGAGACCGGAGGGAAAGCATCTTCACCCCCTCCTTTTGTTGCCTTTAGGCGTCGCTTTCCCATTTCTTCAAAGTGCTAAACCTCAGATCAAATGCAAACAGCTGGGCGGACACCACTCCCTTCCGGGCCACCAGTTTCCACCCGGTTCGAGTCTCTGGAGAGGATATCTTTCTTTTTTACACCCCCATTATCCTAAGCAGTCACCCTTGGGAGTGTTAAGATTAAAAGAACAGTGAAAAACACAAATAAAAATAAAGGTTCTAAACGTTCTCAAGAGCCAAATAACAACCATAGCTACCCTCAATCCGAATTCTTACCAGAGAAGTGGGTGAAATATTCCACCTCTCTCAACCCCCAACCAGGCAAAATATACATGGCAATTACTACCAAAAGCAGGGGGCCCGAAAAAATGAGCACAGCGGGCTATCCATGTAATGCCCACAAAATGCCGGATTATGGGGCAGAGCGGTAGGTGCTGTCCACGGTGCTGAAAGACCTGTGGTGGGGGGGTGTCCCCCACCCCAACTTCAACACTTGATATATTGGAACTGGGTAGATTTCTGGGCCCTCAATTCCTTATCGTTCCTACTGAGCCCAAGCTCCGAGCTGTAGTGGAACACAACTGGGAATAAATCAAAGTCATGAATTCCTAAGTCTACTACTCTCCCTGGCTCATTGGAATGTCAATTCCATTAGTGCAAGGATAATATAAATTGAAAGGTCAACGTAAACTCCAGCAGATTAGTGCCTGTCACATTGGAGATCATTAATAGACATTCGTTTATTTAATTAAGTACTAATATTTATTTTTTTCAGATGGCACKATATCTTTATTTATTTTATTTATTTTCATGTGGTACTGAGGATCGAACCCAGTGCCTCACATATGCAAGGCAAGCACTCTACCGCTGAACTTATTATAACCCAGCCCAGAACTAATATTCAATTCAACTTTTTAAGATTAAGAATGAGCAGGAGACTTCATTCCTTCCCTCCCCACCATAAGGGAGAAAGAGATGTCATCAAAGCTGGACAGAGCCGACTTTCATTTGCAATAGTCTTAGAGGTTCTTTTTCCAACACGATTATTTTCTTGACTGAAATGTTAAGGGTGTTTTGAATCCTGGGGTAGAAAGAGAAAGTGTTTGAGAAATTCTCAATCTAGTGCTAAGGTGAAGTAAATGAATCTTTCTTTCCAAGGAATTTCAGGTCTTCGGAGAAGGTCGAAGAGATAGAGGGCGAGCGGGCATCTAGGCAGGACTGTGGACATCTCAGAGAACCGGGATTTGTTGCCACCTCCCTCCTCTGCCCAGTGCGTCTTGAATGATTTAGTACTGGCACCAGGCTCCCTGATTGGTGCAACCATATCGTTTAGGGAAGACTGGAGAAGGGGGGTGTGGATGGAATTCCTAGTTCACCTCGCTGTAAACCGCGCATTTCAAGGGGCTCAGACAAGCTCCCGGGTGTTTCCTACGCGGAACAGGCACCCCTACATACGCACCGTGCCCAACTGGGTGCACTAGTGCGGGGGACTGCTGTTACCACGCGCTGTGCCTTTCACGATGCTTTTGTGCCCTTCAAAAATGCCCGGGCTTTTACTGTAAGGTGAAGAAGAGGCTACAGTAGTTTCTTTAATATTAAAAACAACGATGTTATTTCAAACTTCTCCGCAAATCCCTCTTGTTGATCGAACTCTATCTTCCCAGGGCGGAAGCTTCTATCTCCCTTATGGAATTTTAGATGACTTATAAGATTTGGGGAGTTTGTGGTGGTGAAAAGAAATAAGATATTCAGAGGAAGGGACAGGCCTCGGGTAAATCAGCGAAGCTCGAGACGTGCGAATAAATAATCCCTGCCTGCTGCATCTCAAACAGTGAGGTGGAGGGGGAGTCGCCGGGAAAACGAGTAAAGCAATCACTGAAGCAATCACGGTGACAAGGAGACAAGGACAAAGATCAACTTTGTGTGTGTTTTTTTTCCCCTAAAGAAAAAGAAAGTGAGTGATAAGAAAGAGGAGAAAGTAAACTAACGAGGAGAGTGGCTAAGAGAAGGTTTGAAGAGGCAGAGTTACAGAGCCTGGTCAGCCTCTCCAGGTGTTGGTTGAGGCGCGGGAGGAAAGGCCAGAAGAGCCCGGGGACTCTCTGTCTCCGGACGTTTGGCGCCCTCTGGTGGGAATTTTACCGTCAACGCCTTTTTACGGTGAGGGACTTGACCCTACGCAGCCAAGTCATTAAAGGTGCTTAAATACTGCAAAGGAGAACATTTTAAGCGCGTGAAATCGAAAGGAAATGAGGGGAGTGGGCCATAGCAAGGAGGGTAGGCCCACCCCTCCCAGGCCACCTCTGTGCTGGGGTTCCCCAAGCGTGCGGAGCGGCACTCGTGCGTGTTATTAACCTTCAGACATGATCAATCAAGAGGACTTCTTTTCCCTTCGCCAAGGAAGTGAGCGTACACAGAATGGGAAATGGGACCCTTTTCCTACCGGTGTAGCTGTACTCAGATGAGGTAATTTGGGGATGCCTCAAGCTGAATTAGGAAACTGGAATGAGATGGAGACTCCTCCATGGTCTGAGTGGTCCCCTTTATCTCTGTCTTTACAGCAAATCCTGGCACAGCAGAGAGCCAGTAAGGACATCCACCAAGAGCGATTTCGCTCGAGGAAGCGTTTTGGGACCTCGGATCCGGGGGAATCACGCGGAAAGAGATTGGGGAAAATCCACTGCCCTAGTCTCTTCTGAGATATAAGGGGTGGGGGAGGAAGGGAGTAAAGAAGGAACGCTCTGTGAGGCAGAAATCTTCGTAGGAATTATCTTTTCCCTCCTCTCGCACTGCCTAGTTCAAAAAATAGAGCGTGCTGAGTACGTTCTGGATTACTCATAGGACCTTTTTTTTCTTTCTCGGTGCAAAATCGTGAGCTGGATTTATAATCGCCCTATAAAGCTCCAGAGGCGGTCAGGCACCTGCAAAGGAGCCCCGCTGCTCCACCGACGAGCTGCCCCCGCGAGCAGCAGCCTCGTGATTCCCCCGCGGAGCGGGTCCCCGCCTCCCCACTCCGCCCCCGCCTCCCCCAAAGCCAAGCAGCCACCACTCCGGGTCTCTCTCTTCTCCTCCAGGCGCTCGCGTGCCGGACAAGAGTAGCGAAGGCGAGTTAGCAGCTGGAGGTGACGCCGGACGTAYACGCCTGTAGCAGAGCCCAGGGAAGCCTGGTGGATCGTTGCACGCTGCGCAGAGGAGCAGCGGGAGTGTCCGGCTAGCAGTCGCTCGAGCCCAGGTGGGTAAACGCGCAACCACTGGGACTTCCCAGTGCCCACCTTCCGCAGTTCAGCTGGGTTCTCTCTGCCCTCAGCTTCTCGTCAAMCTCTACTCACTGCGCCCACCACCCACCCACCTTCCAGAGCCGAGTGCTTCCCATCCACTCCAGTCCGTGTTCTCCGCTAGTGCGCGGCGCAAGGACTTCTGCCCTGCGCCTCTTCCTATTCTTACCCKCCGTTTTGTGCCCCAAGGTGGCACAGAGGCTTAGGTTCGCGCTGAAGTAGAAGGAGAGCGATTTTCCCTTGTGCCTCCAGACTGCGAGCGCCTGTCTTTTCAAAGGGCGCCTAGATAGCAACACCGGAAGGTGCGACTAGAAGCAATAACCTGTTACTTCCCCAGCATCAGCGTTCCACCTGCGCCCGCGTTGCTGTGAAAGCGCGMGCGCGGGGCTGTGTTGGGCAGGAAAAAAAGGGCGTGGAGGCGGTAGTTGGTGGGCTCTTCTCTCGGGGATCTTTGATCTATCCAGATCAGCCCGCATTCTCTCCGTCCCAGAGCCTTTGGACGCCATCGTGCAGGCGCGGAGCACCGGCCGGGGACGCCAGGTACTGATCTTTGTCCGTCGCCTCTTGCGCTTTAGGCGCAAGTTCGTTTCCCGGGTGACGTTCGTTTCCCCCACCCTCTCGGGTTCTGTACTGCGAACTCTGGGGGGTTAGGTAGCGGAGAAGCACAGAAACTGGGACAGAGCCTCGCCCTAGGCTTCAAGATGGCTCAAAACCGGGTAGAACAAGAAGCAGACGAGCAAGCGAGGTTCCGACCCGCTGCTTTCTGGAAGATTGGAGTGCAAGGTGACTCTGTTTCTCACCCGGTCACGTCCAAGGGAGAAACGTAAAGATATGAACATTGTTTTCCTCTCACCTTATCTCACCAAAGTCCCCGGTCTCCGGAGCAGTTAGCCTCTCCTTCTTTCCAGGGAATTAGCCAGACACAACAACGGGAACCAGACACCGAACCAGACGTGCCCGCCCCGTGCCTCCCCACCCCCCGCCTTCCAGCACGTCGGCTGCCGAGAGCCCAATGGGGCTTGTCGCGGCTTGACTGAAAAATCTTTCACTGAGCGCTCCCTTGTGCTCCTAGCCCAGTCCCTCACACCCCCGCGTCCTATACTGGCCTTGGTCCCCTCCTTGTCTCTGAGCTGCACTCCAGGTCGCCCGGCTGCGCCGCCAGACTGGAGAGCCGCCCAGGGCTACGTTGCCTGCGCCGGAGTCCCTGAGCTAGCGCTCACTTGTCCTCCGCCCCTCACCAACCGCTCACCCTGACCAGCCAGCTCGCTGCCTTTCCTCCCCCGCTCCCTCCCGCACCGAGACTTCAAGGGGAGTGTCTGCACACGCACACACACCCCACTCTGGCCTCTCTGTCGCCTCCGGTACGCAGGACTCCAAAAGCCCTCGCCACACAGCTTTCGCTTGTCTTTGCAGCCTGTTCTCGCGCCCAGCACACAGAGGACCCCGGACAGTAGAGGCCCCGGGACAGCCGAGCTTATGGCGTCTTCGACTCCTTCTTCGTCCTCAACCTCCTCAAATGCAGGAGCGGATCCCAATACCACCAACCTGCGCCCCACAAGTAGGTCCTGCCCCAATTTCCTATCAAATGGACTGCAGGGAAGATGGGGGGCGCTGGGACGTCGGCAGACTGCGCTGGCGGAAAGGGAAAGGGGAGCTCGGAGATGATGGAGGCTGGGAAATAAATGGGGCTCTGGCCCAGGTTCCTGCCAGAGGTCATTTGACTGTCAGGGACGCTAGGTTACCCCCAGAGCATCCAAGAGCGAAAACCCCACAGGGTTCTAGCGGCGGCGATTGTTAGGGGCTTCTCATTGGGCTAGGGGCACTCCAGGAGAGTGCTGTTTTTGTTGTGTGCTGTGGCTTCTTTGCTTGGTGGGACTACAAGGGTCAGAGCAGAGGGCAGTGTGAGGAGCCAGCGTCCTATCGGGAATAGAGTTTTCTGTCTCTAGCTTTCGTTAAGCTAAGATCTGACCTCCTCCTCCTTTCCCCCTACGCTGTGCTCAAAGTCTATAATCAGCGGAAATTTCGACGTTAATTGCAGCTTTTAGAAAACTCAGGGTCCCTAATTGCTCCAAATTTGCGTCGAGCTATTGACAGTGAGGGAGAAGCCAGGGGCGGGAAAGGTGCATAAAACTGTTTTGAGACTGAGCCTCGACATTTCCTACTCTTAATTACATCTCAGAGACAAAAAAGGGTGGGGGGGGCGGATGTTGAGCAACATTCTGAGTGGCAAGAGGTGCGGAAATGGAGGAAGCAAAAAGGTTTTCCAGGGCGGGAACCGAGAACACCTCTCTCCTTTCTCCCAGGGGAGATAACTTGTCAGCAGGTGACAAATGTTAGAAAAGGGAAGAAAAGGGGGACAGATTAAAAGGAGTGGGATTTATGTGTCCCTTTCCTAAATCCTACCAGTTCCTCAAACATTTGCAGAATCTTTCTATAATTCAGATTTTCTTCCTCTCTGTGGAGGCATGGGAATGAGGGATTGTTTATCTTTTTCCAAATTACAGTGAAGTGTCTCCTCATCTCACCCACCCTCCCAAATTTTTCAGCTTCAGACACCCCAGAATCACCCCCAGAATTTCTATTCAGAAGAGGCTCAGGGAGGACAATGTGGTTAGGAGTACTTATTGCTGAGCTTTAATGGCACTTTCTATAAGCTTGAGAAAATAATTGTCCTCAAGAAAGGTGGGAGGTGTTATCGGGAAAGCAAAGACCCTCTCCAAGGACCCTTTGGCACTCGCTCTGGCTCCTGGGCTGGAGGCCTTGTTTTGAGTCCTCAGGCGATGTTCCAGTTTCCTCTTCCCACCACCCAGGCAGGCTACAATTACCTACACAACAAAGAGGGGCTTGGGAGAGCCGCCAGCCCTGATGGCACGTGAGCCAGGCAGAGATAGCAGAGCTGACCAAAGCAGGCCCAGAGGAAGGCGAGGCTCAGGGCCTTTTGTCTGTTGCTTTGGCCTTGATAGATTTCTTTATTGGTCTTCCCCCTTACCCCCTTTCTATCCAGCAGGTTAAGGAAGCCCTTGAATTCATCCACCCCCATGTCCCTGCCCCTACTTCCCATCAGATGGTCACTGCACCCAGTTCCTGGTGCACGACCCAGCAGAAATGATGGCCTGAGTCCACATATGGCCTGGAATCCCTGAAAGCCACTGTAGTGGAGGCRAGAGAGCCAAAGACGCTGCCTAGGAAGAGCAAAAAGCTCCGGTCCCAGTAATCTTCCCTACTTATAATCTAGCTGTGTCAGAACCCTAGGCTGTTCTGGCAGGCACACTCCACTTTCATCCTCTTTCGGACACACCCTGGCACCCAGCTGGCTCCACTTCTCTGGCCCTTCAAGGTCTCCTGGGAGGTGTCCTCGCTCCACCTGTCTTACCCTCTCACTCCAGCAACCCCTGGCCAGGCCTGGAACCCTCCTTGTCCTCAAGCACTTGGTCTTCCCCACTTCTGCTACAGCAAAAGGGCTCTCTAGCTCCTGCTTTCCCTCTCCACCTATTTTGCTTTCCCTCTCCACCTATTTTGCTTTCAATTCTGAAAGGCAACACAATGTATTTGAAATCCAACCTCCCGGCGTAATGACCTTGGAAAACTCACTAACCCTCTCTGAGCTGCAATGTTTTTCTTTGTCAAATGAGTCTTAGATCAACATTCTACCTGCCTGTGTTGTAGGATTGTTTTAAGGTTAAGATGAAATGATGTTTAAAATGAAGGAACTTTATGGGGTGGAAATAGTTCTTTATGCCTTGCGCATATTATTATTAGGGTTTTGCTTTGCAACCAATCTCCTGTAAGTGGAATTTCATCGGTGACACGTTGTCTCCCAGACGGAAATCAGGCCATTTCTTCTCCCCACTAGGTCTGTGTTGTGCCTCGGTTTTAATGGATGTCACTCTGCTTATCGCAGCCAACACTTGCGCTGGCTGGAGGCTGGGGCTTGGGCTGGGGTAGGCTGGGGGATGGGAGTGATTGGAGGCGCCTTGCTTTGAGGAATCCGAGGGGATTTGGCGTTGAACCCATCTCACTGGCCTTTTAATTCCTTGATGGAAATTAACCGCAAAGGCAGGTAAACCCAGAGGGGTTTGAGAACCGCTTGGCGAAGAGGGAAAATCCGTGATCCTCTTGGTTGGCSGTTCAGACCCAAAGGAAGGGTACCTGATTCCGTTAGCCTTCGCTTGCTCCAGAGCCTAGGTGTCCGAGAATAGGGTTAATGAGGGTCGGGGGTAGGAAGAAGGAACAGGATGAAGACCCGAGGCGCACTATTGTCTTCCTGACTCCCCAGTCTGACTGAAGAGCAGCCATGCGGGCCCGATCATCTAGTCAAATACTATTTTTCACCCAATTAATTCCTGAACTCTTCCGCGACCCCATTTCATGCCAGTTTATTTTAAGCTGCCACTCGGCTGGAGACCCGCCAAGAAATTATGAGATGTTTCGGTCCCAGATGCTTCTGTGTTCCCTTTCTGTGCTGATGTGGTCGCCCTTCGAGTCTGCGGGCCGAGACCAGAGGACTAGGCCTTTGGGTGCTGGGCAACTCGAGAGGTGGGGTCTGGCACTTTGCACATGGGGGGTCAGCCTTCACCCCATCCGACCCAATCTTGGCGACTGTCGGGTGTGGATCGCTTGGGGATCCTCGAACCCCGCCTTTCAAAGACACTGTTATGTATCTGAAGCCAAGAAGAGGAAGGGAGTGTGATTAAGATTCTGGAGGGCATGAGTCTACCTGTCTGCCCACAGATCTGGCTTCTAGTACCTTTCAGAAAAAAGCTTTTAAACCAGGACGTTGAAGACCTTCCCCTCCCCTCGCGAAAAAACTTTGCTCTCTACCCAGGTTCTGGCGGTCCAAGCCTGCCTAATCACACCCCTGTTGCTCTCTCTTGTCCTAGCCTACGACACCTGGTGCGGCGTGGCCCATGGATGCACCAGAAAACTGGGACTGAAGATCTGYGGTAAGCGAAAGGGCCGGCGGAAGCTTGGCAGAACCGGCGGGGAAGCTTGGCGCGCGGGCTTTGTAGGTTTGGAAGAATCAGATGCACGCGGAGGGGATCCTGACCCCTAGGTCTCCTTATCTAATGAAATTACAGCCCCGACATCCAGTAAGGACATTCTTTTCGAGGTCCTGGCCCTCCTTTTCCCTCCCCTGACCCAAACCGAGGGGCCTTTTCCTTTGGGGTTCTTGCTCCTGGAGACCAGCTAGAAGGAACGCTGAGAGCCCCTGAGTAGACGAGGAAAACGGAACACAGCGCCCCCACGCGGCACCCTCGCTCTCCCAGCCCTGCGCCCTGCCCCGGGGTCGCCCGCCGGGTGGGTGCACTATGCCCAAGAGTCTGGAAGGTCTTCTAGAAAAAGTGAACTGACCCGGCTTTCTTGGAGAGCAGACCAAAGAGTGCAGCATTGTACCTAAAGCTGCCGCTGAAAAGTACCCCTCCCTGTTATCATTGCCCGCCCACCCTTCACCAATCACCCTAGGGCTTGGGAGCATTGAAGGTGGCATTTCCATCTTGAAGTTCGTGCCCAGAGATGTCATAATGGATTATTTCGTTCTTTGGGGCTCGGAGGCTAAGGGAAAGGATTGCTTGCAGCTCTCGGTGGCCTCCCTAGCGGAGGTGCCAGAAGCGCAGGCTCGAGTGTTTGCAGGGCATATCCTTGAAGGCGAGGAAGGAAGGGACCGGAGAGGACGGGAACCCACAGGCAGGGAGGAGATGGTGTTGTCTGACAAAATAGATCCAGAAGCTGGAGAGGAAAAAGAACTGCTCTCTGGAGAGTGAGGGTCTGAAATGAAAACGCCCAAGGGATGTAATTTTTTTTTTAAGGGAAAAAGGGAGATTTGTTCGAAGGGACACAGCTGAGCGGCTCCGGCTGAACAATGAGGACTTGGTTTCCTTGCTACATTTCACCGTCTAAAATTCTCCAGCCTTATCGGGCTAGAAAATACGGATGTCCCCGGGCAGGGGGTGGAGAGGCGGGGGAAGATTAACGAGGGGCTTATTAAAGAGCCATTCGTCAGCTGCTGCGCGCCCAAGATAGCGGCAGAGCAGGCACGCGGCTCGCCAGCCCCATCAGGCCCCAGGAGTCAGTGGGCGTGTGGGTGCTCTCTGGACCTGATCTTCCCGGCTTCCCTGGGCACCCGGTTCTGAGCGGGGTGGCAGTTAGGAGAACACAGAGGGGTTATTTAGCAGCTTTTTGAAACCGCTATCCTTCCCCGCTTGGGCGCGCCACTCTCCTCTCTGCGTTTCTGGGGCTTSTCTCCTAGATCTCGGGGCCCAACATTTAAGGGGAAGACGGGGAGCTCAATTCCTAGACCCAGTCATTTTCCAGGAAAAATCCAGCCCTGCTTCAGGGCTGCCTGGAGGTTGGCCCACTACCTAGCGCGCGAGGCTGGTGGGCGAAGCCAGGGCAGCGTCTCCGCGTGTTGGGGCAGCCAAGGGTCCAGCGCTTTGTTCTATTAATAGTCCCCTCCTYTCCAGCCATACCCCATCACGCCGCGGTTCTAAGCTTAATGGCGCGTTTCACTCCAGGTCCCTTCGGTGGCGGTGACGCTTGCCTTCTGCAGCCGTCATTGTCATGCAGCTGGGCAAGCAGAACCGAGCAAGCCTGGGCCTTTAGGGCAGCCGAGGACTGGATAGGGGTAGGCTCAGGGTGAAGGCTGCCTTTCCTGTGGTTCTGGTGGGCTTGCTGGGACTAGAAGGGCAGCCCTCACCGCCCCCACCCCCCTCACTCCCTGCTCCCGCTACTGGCCAGGTGGTGGGGGGTGGGAGGGGGAGAAAAATCTAAGCTCGCTTCTGGGGACATACCTWATGCCCTGAAAGGGTAAAGGGGCTGGATAGAGTTAAGCTTCCTTGAGTCTAGGAATAGGGGACCCTAAGTTATCATTAACTTCCCCTCCCCTGATGCCAGCCAATGCCATGAGGAAGAGTTCTCTTGAGCATTTGAGGGCTACCGTCCTCAGAGAGTTTCTTACCTGTTTCTTACCCCACCCCACACCCCACACTCACACTAATTTCTGAAAACTTGCAATCTGAGTGTCAGTAGGCAAGAAGGCAGAGTAGTCTCTTGAGAGGAAATTACCTTCTGCTAAAATGCTGTGCTTTTGGGGACCACAGGTTAGAAGACTCCCCTTTAGGTTTGATTGTGGGGTGGGAGAGCACCAGGTCAATTTATTTTTCATTCATTAAATTAACTCTGGTTTTCTTTTTTAATCTAGTGGAAGCAAAATGCAGTCTCCTTACTGCCCCCAAAACACACACCCCTGGGGCCTTGTACCTGCTAGGCTAGCTCTCTAGCACTGAGCCATATCCCCAGCCCCAGAATGTAGTCATCAGCTCTGGATCCACAGCATCCTCTATTGTCTCCCACCTCCTACCCTATCCCCATACATTTCCTTCATCCCAGACCTTCATATACCAGAGGGTGCCCTCTTAATCTGATACTAAGATTAGTTTGACTTTTCACCTTAAGACAGCAGAGGTACTAGTGGCCCTCATCCCATTTTCTTCTCTACCCATTACCCTGGGTGACCTCCATTACACCCTCAGTGCCTGGCTAAGATTCAGTCCCCGCCTACTCTCCTTCCTCCTTCCCCTTAACCTGGGAGTGAAGCTGTAAGGAAGGTTCTGGGTACTACTGATAGTGCCCTTAGCTCTGGAAGCAGAATCCCCATGGGAGAGTAATCAGAAGTAACCCAGGGTCTTGCCAATAATTGGAAAGTGAATCCAGGCCTGGTGGTGTGACCTAAATAAAATGAGTCTCGGGGATCCCTGAGTTCTGGCCCTGGGTTCTGCTAACTTTCCAGTGTGTCCTTGGGCTTCCATCATTATTTTATACAGAGATCCCAAACTTGCTGCCAATTAGAGCCCCTGAGCCATTTTATTTAGTCCACACAGTGTGTTTAATTATGTATTAGTCCCCAACTTTTAAAAATAGAGAGACCTCAAGCATTCTGTGTTTCTGGTTTCTCTTGAAAAGAAGTGGGAGGARATCTGGCAGTGTGCTGTTAGCCCATAAAAAAGTCAGAAGAGCCCCTTCCTCTAAGCAAWAGTAATTCTATGCCAACAGCTTGGTGAGCAGAGAATGTTCTGGGCTTAAGCCCCWACATGGCCTGTTGGCCAGGAATCCTTATGCTGTGCACAGCTTGGGGCTCCACTTGGAAACAACTGGAGGAAGCCAGGTGCTCTCTGGTTCCACACAGCTCCCTGCCCTCCCCTTTCCCCAAGGGTTGGGAGCAGGAGTGGGGAACCAAAAGCAAGAACACTCCACCCCACCCAAGCTCACAGCCCAAAGACAGAGTCCTTACAGGACCTCACTGTTCTCCCTTTAAGGCAAGCCAGCTATGACCTGCAGAAACACAACTGCTCCCTGGCTGTCCTTGGCTTTACTATTTGCTCTCAGAATGTAGAGTTCCATGACAATTATCCACACATGGAGTGCAGAGTTGAGAGGGGGGATAGCCTGTCCCAGTCTCAGGGACCCTGCTCCCAAGACTCCTTACTAGCCAGGGAAGTTGTCAAAGCCCCCACCTCCCTATCACCCTTCATCTCAGTGATCTCCCAGGACCTYTTGGGCCTAGAGAAACCTGCATTTACCTTTTTGAGGATCCCAGTATTTTAGAAAGACAATGCYTTCTTAAAGTGAAAGAAAGGACAGTCTACATTAAAAGTTTACATTAGCTTATTAATGGTTTTTCACACAAATCATAATGCAATGTAAGTGTGCTCTTCACAAGATAATTATGCAATCTAGAGAAAATTTGGGTTCCTAGATGTATAGTCCAGGAATAGGAAACARGTTTAAAGTTATGTCATAATTGTCATCACTCAGCTCCATCAGGACATCTCTGGATGAGCCCATATGAAAGCCTTCTTTGGAGACAGTATCCAAAAGCCTAAACTGTGGCCCTGTTCCCAGTCACTGGTTTCCAAAGGAGTTTCAAGATGAGGATACTTAAGCCTTCCCAGGAGTAAGTCAAAAGACCAATAGAGATCTGAGAGTGCAGAGTGGGTTTCAGCTGGACAGGACCTCACCCGCATTGGCATATGGTCTCTCTACTCTGGCAAATTCCAAGGTCATTTTCTGGGACAAGGAAAGCAGTGTCAGGGTTCAGGAACTAGGTGACCCTGCATCCTCCCAGAAAATGAGTGCTGGCACCTGCATCTGGATACTGGGGATTTAGAAGAGGAAGAAAGTACAATAGAAGAAGGAAAAGATACAACTCCCATCTTCATATCCACATATGCAGCACCATTACAGTGTATCTCCAGCTTCTGATGTCCTTTGGGGMTTAGTAATGACTTTAAAATGTGCTAGGAACAGTGAAAGGCTTGTGTGGGGGAGGATTCTAATCCCCATGGCCTCCACTCCCCATCCCTCTTCCACTCATCACCATTGAATCCTCTTCCTAGGGAAATGAAGCTGAATTCCCAGATTAACTTGCCTTCCTTTACACCTCCTGGGACTTTCTTCCAAGCCTGTCCTGTGATGTCTGCAACTCCCCAAGGATCTTAGTATCCACAAAGACAGCTTTGGTGTCACCAAGAAGCTTAGCACTTTCTYGCTTTTTTCAGTGTGATGCCTCCTGGGCTCAGGCTGAGGCTGTACTGGGATAGGAGATGCTGGGGGAAAGATGGGGCTTGTAGGCGGGAGCCCGGGAGGGCAGCTGAAGGAAGCATACCCCAGGTTGGCAGAGCCTTTTCGACTCAACCCTGTTTCCCCTTTGCTGTTGCTATCATTTGCTCTGCCCACATCAGGTGGGAGATATTCTCCTGCCTCTAGGGAAAGAAGTGAGGGGCTATGAATCCACACTGGGCCCAGAGCTCTCTGTGGAGTTCTCAGATGGCTTTCTATCTCCATCACAACATTAGTTGTCATCTGCTAGACTGTAAGCCCCTGTTTACAGTCTTCATCAGTTCCCACCCTAAATGCATCCCAAACTGCTCTTCCACAACAGGTGCCTTGTACACACTTATAAATTAAATGCCAAGGCCCATAAGATTTTAAATGTTCTTATCTTTCTACAAAACCTTTAACACAGAGTGGGTAGCACAGGAAAAGCTGAACTGCAGAAAAATGACACTGATATTCAATCCGGTGAGGGTTCCCTGGCATCAGAGGAAAGCATCTCCCATGATCCTCGGGATCTCACCCTCCTCCCTCTGCTGTCCTCATTCCTCCTCCCTCTGATGTCCTCACCCTCCTCCTTCTGCTGTCCTTCCCACTCCTCCTCCCTTTGCTGCCCTCACCCTCCTCCCTCTGCTGCCCTCACCCTCCTCCCTCTGCTGCCCTCACCCTCCTCCCTCTGCTGTCCTCATCCTTCCTCTTGTCTCTGCTGGATCTCACCCTCTTCCCCTGTAGTCCTCTCCCTTCCTCTTCTCTCTTCTCCTTCCTCTGGTTGCCTGTAAACCTGAGGCTGGCAGCATCCTGTCTGATTGGGTCCCTTCCTTCAAYACCCCCATCCTGAGGCTGGTTACTGGAGTGGAAGCTGTCCAGTTGACTTAGCTCTGAGTTCACTGTCACGTTCAAAGAAGCCTGAGCCTCACTTACTATTTTCTCTCTTGCATGACTGGGTCTTTGCCACTGATGGCACTTGGCATTGCCTCATCCCTGCCCTCCCTCCTGCCTCAAGGCTAGCCATGCCAGAACCACTATATATAAAACACAGATACTCAGCTTTTCTTCTTAGCAGAAGTGAGAGTCCTGCTTGAAGAGGGGACCTGGTCCAGAGTGGCTGGGTAGTTTCTAATTTCTCTGACCCAGCTTCTTATACCTTAGGATTCTTGCAGAGGACCAATAGCCTGGAAGAGAAGAGTCGTCTTGTGAGTGCCTTTAAGGAGAGGCAGTCCTCCAAGAACCTGATCTCCTGTGAAAACAGTGACCGGGATGCCCGCTTCCGACGCACAGAGACGGACTTCTCCAACCTGTTTGCTCGAGGTGGTCCCTCCCGTGGCTCTTAGCTCTAGCACTACTAGCCAGTTGATTCCTTACTTGATGATGTCTTAACTTTTTCATGAAATTTTACTTCTTTTGCCAAGAAATGTCATTACTGTCTGTGAACTCTCTTGAAACTGCTTTTCTAACATTGCAGTATAACAGACACCCTCTGTCCCTATTGCCAGGTAGCCCATCATTCTGGAAGGTAGATTAGTGAAGTCCATAAAACAGTCAACTTTAAAGATACATGCAGACACAAATATGGATTCATAAAATCTCAGAATCCAAAGRAATCTTATATATAAGAGAATATAGTGATTTTCTTAATCATATTTATCCTCTAACATTGCCAACTCCTCCCCAAAATAATCACCCTATGGGAAGTTGTTCAATTAGCCCTCATAACCAAGGACAACCCYAAAACTCACTGTCCTTCTGTAGATCCTTTACCAGTTCCTGTGCCCCCATAAATTTGTTCTCAGGAGATGCTCCACCACTGTCTCCTAAGTGGCTCGAAGATGAATCCACYGCCATCCACTTCTATGAACTCCCCGGAATGCCACAGAAGCCAGACCAGAACATTGACTAAAACCTTAGAGATAATCTAGGAGTAGGCACAGTGAAACCTGYTTTTTGAGCTGTGGCTGATCTCAGTGGGGGTCCCCACCATTCTTCCTGGCTAGCTCCCCACCCCACCACCAACCCTCCCCTCCTGACTAGGCCCCAAAGGATGAGGTCAAGAGAAAAACAGGAATCCCTTCTATCACCTTCTTGAGGCCTCAATTTCAGTTCTAGTTTACTGTCTGAGGACAGCACAAAGGGCCACCCTCTTCAGGAGGGACCTCATACTCTTCCAGCAGAGGCTTTACCCTCTGCCATCAACAGATCAAGCACATCATTAACATCAAACCAGATGTATAGGGACATTTGGTCCCCCAAGGGCCCATTAGAAATATCTGGTTAYGCTGCTCACAAGTGCCCTTCAGACTCAAGTAGAGAACTGCAGTGGCAGGTTGCTCAATGCTTCTCAAAGCACGCCAGTCCATGTACRAGCAGTCTGATGAGCAGAAAGTCTGTAAACCCCTGTAAAGTATATGCAAAATTTCTGTGTACATGCATACGGGCCTCCCTCTGGGGATGTCACCTCAGTGCATATACACATCCTGGAATGAAATTGGGCCTCATGGATATCATGGCTGATATTAGGGATCTCTGGATCGAGAGAATCCAGGTACAAGGCAGGTGATAACCACCCATTGGCTTTCCCTCTCAGATCTGCTTCCAGCTAAGAATGGGGAGGAGCAAACCGTGCAGTTCCTACTCGAAGTGGTGGACATACTCCTCAACTATGTTCGCAAAACATTCGATCGCTCCACCAAGGTGCTGGACTTCCATCACCCACACCAGTTGCTGGAAGGCATGGAGGGCTTTAAYTTGGAGCTCTCTGACCACCCGGAGTCCCTGGAGCAGATCCTGGTTGACTGCAGAGACACCCTGAAGTATGGGGTTCGCACAGGTAAGGGCGAGAGCCAGGTGAACACACAGAAGCAATGCCYTCCATGTCCCCTGGCCAGTTGTGAGGACAGCAAACTCCTGGTGAAGGAGAAACACAACCTGGTAAAGAAAGGCAAAGTGCTCAGTGGCCATAAAATKAAYCCTCGCAAAAGCTCATCATYGAGCTGGGTACAGTGGCTCATGTSTCTGATACSAGCGGCTCAGGAGGCTGAGGCAGGAGGATCGTAACTRAGAGTTCAAAGCCAGCCTCATAGTGATGCCTTAGGCAACTCAGAGAGACCTTGTCTCTAAGTAAAATATAAGAAAAGGCTGAGGATGTGCTCAGTGGTTGAGCGCTCCTGGGTTCAATCCTCGGTACCAAAACAAACCAAAAAACCCTCATCATTATTTCTTGTAAAAATAAATTAAAAAGATACAGATACATGGTAATAGGTCAAGTTCATTTTGAGGTTCAGGCTATTCAGGACCTAGAGAGCAGGTTCCCCTATTCTTTCTACCTCCATTTTCATGCCTGTTTTGTCCTGATAAATCTTACCTACCCTTCCCTGTCATTGACACTGTGGAGAATTTGGGCCTGTTTTCCTCCCTTTCTGTATTAGTTTCATAGAGCTGTCATTACAAATTACTACCAACTAGGTGATTTGAAACAGTAGCAACTTATTCTCTGACAGTTTTGGAGGCTAAAAGTTCAAAATCAAGGTGTTGGCGGAACCATGATCTCTTTGAAGCTCTCAGAGAAAATCCATCCTTGCTTCCTCCAACTTCTGGTGTTGCAGGTGTTCCTCCACTTGTAGATACATGGCTCCAGTCTYTGCCTTGCCTTCACATGGCCTTCTCCCTGAGCACAGCTGTCCAAAGTTCTCTCTTCTGAAAAGGACACCAGTCTTTGGATWAGGGCCCGCTCTAATCCAGCATGACCTCACTTTACGATTCCACTCAYAAAGACCCTATTTCCAAGTAAAGTCACAGTTCACAGGAACAAGGGATTAGGATTTGAATGTGTAGGGATATAATTAGGATTTGAATTTGAGGGATGTAATTCAACCCACAGCACCATCTTATTGGATAGCCAAAAAGTCAGTCTCTCTCTCTCTCTCTCTCTCTCTCTCTCTCTCTCTCTCTCTCACACACACACACACACACACACACACCCTCTCTTCACATTCTCCAAGTCTCCAAATTCTGTTTCCAACTAGGAGACCTCAAGGTTCTCCTCTTGCCTCCCTTTCATTTTACAGGGTCCTCTCTAATCAGCAATCCTGGCTAAAGTGATTTCTTTCCAATTTCCTCAGGTTCAAGGACGTTTTGGTCCTCTGAGCTGTTTCTTAGCACAGAAGTGAAGCAGCATTTTCTTTTTCCTTGTAACTCTCTCCCCTCTGCAGCTGACTTGGCTGAGTTCTTGGGCAGACAGATCCTCAGGAATTAGCAGTCCTTAGGATGCTTRCCACCACATGGGGAAACCCCCAAGGGCACAACTGGCTGCCCACTGTTCTTTTTTGTTGTTGTTGTTGTTTTGTTTTTACTTCTTTCTCTTTCTTTTTCCTTTATTTTCCTTCTCACCCTTCTTAGTCATAAGAAGAGAGATTTAAGACCAAGACTGGGGAGGTTGGGGGAGATAGAGCAGAGCAGGGCTGTTATAATGAAATAATGAGGCTGGCCAAAGAAGCTWTTCAAAATAAGGAATTCCAAATTACTTTTGAAGTCTGCCAATTCCACTAAATAACTTCTGAGTGAACCCAACTCAATTATATGTAGAAAGTCTGATAGTTAAGTAGTTAAAGAAAACCACTCTAATAATTTAGATGCATCTCTCTTTGGTCTGCTGGCCACCCAAGCCCTGTGGAGAACAAGAAGTGTTATTTGACTGGATTTAAAATGAGTCAGAATTCCCCATGTTTGTTTTAGCTTGACTTGTTTTGGTCCACTGTTTTTTCTTTTGTTCATTCACTTTATACATACTTTCTCAGAGAAATGAGGACTACATATTTTTATCATTAATAAACAGAAAAGAAAAATACATAATTTCATCATGATAGCACATCATATCATCTCAAAACTGAAGATGCTCAGAGAAAGCAGTCATTAGTACAACATATGAATCCATTTAGGTATTTAGTCTGCAGCCATCCATTTCTGTTGCCCTGGAAGCAGGTACACATTTACAGAATTCATAATCTTCCTAGCAATGTAAAGCTTTCCGTTGCATCTCAGGGAGTTGGCCCTCGCTAAGGTATACTGTTGCTGCCATATCATAAACAGCTCCAGGTTGCTGGTCTTTGATTTAGGTGGCAATACAGAAGCAGTAGGGTAAACCTTGCAGGTAGCTACACACAGTGAAAAAAAAAWTTTTTWAAGTGCATAAATAGCCAAAATAATGAATAGTTAAAACATACTAATTTTGTGAAGGGATGATGAAAGCATTTGGAAATTTCTGTATAAATTAACAAAAGACTGCTTCAGAAAAGGAACCAGCATCTATAGATTCTCTATGAACTGATGCAGGTACTAGTGAGGCTTCACTCATAGTAGCTACTTAGGTGATTTATAGATACACTACATTTCTTTGATGATTGTTATTGTTCTTCTTCCTTCTTCCTTCTTATGATGGGATATTTTAAACTAAGCAAAAGTAGAATCATATGATGAACTCCATGTACCAACACCCTGCTTTAACTATTATCAACTCMTGACAACTTTATTTCACATGTACCTCTGCCACTGCTTCCCCCTTTTTTATATTATATGGAAGCAAATCCTCAATTTAGTATTATTGCTTCCATACATATTCTTCATCTTCAAAAACTTCATTTTTTATGGGAAAAACCCACAATGTCATTGTTTAATCTAAACACACACACACACACACACACACACACACACACACAATTTCCAAGTGTCTCACCAATGTTGTAAATATTTTTTTTATTTTGCTTTAATTCATTTGAATCGGGATTCAAATAAGTCCCTCACATTGCAGTCAGTTAAAATGTCTCCTAACCAATAGATTTTCTACTCCATCCCTTTTATTTTCACTTGCAATTTTTATGTTGAAAAACTTTACTTGAAAAAATAACCTTTTTTTTTTTTCCTGCTACATGACCTTAGGCTCTGTGCTGCTCAGTGTCTTGTCTGTCATCTGTTATTTTTGTTGGATACAGAGAGTTGTAAATTGAAATGTAAACTAGGTTGTTGCTTGATAGAAATTCTGGTAGAAAATTTTGGAAGCATAAAGTTGTAGCTATTTGCTAAAAGTAAGGTGGGGGGGACTCAGTGTGCTTTATATTTTAATGGGCAAAAAGATAATGTTTCACTCTGTATCAGCCTCTCTTTGTCCAACTTTTGCTTCTGCCATGCTGTGTGCTTTTGATGCATTATCAGATAAAGTGTGGTAGTACGTATGTATGATTCAGTCCTGTTTAAYATAACATTTAATATTTGTTGTTTAAAAGTTTTCAAATGAGTGTTGCATATATATTTTATTTTCAACAAAAAAATTTKTTTGGTATCAGGAATTAAACCACTGAGCCACAATCTCCAGTCCTTTTGATTTTTTAAATTTTGAGACAGGATCTTGCTAACTTACTGAGGCTAGCTTTGATCCTCAGCCTCCCGGATTACAGATATGTGCCACTGCACCCAGCTCAACAAAATTCTTTATATTCCAGGAGATCTCATAGATTCTGTTGACACTGAACAGAATAGAGTAAATGCTATAGCTTAAACTATTCAGACGAGTCTACATGAACATCTGGAATCTGGCCCCATATGTACACTACATTTACTGTTTATGATTTTTTATTTTTTCAAAAAATCAGTATTATTTTTTGAGGGTTCTTGAGATGCAGAGATTGGTATCTTCTGACATAAGAAATCATAGTTCAGTTATTGTGAATGAGTCCCCCTCACAGCTAGGAAAGAGCAGACCATCTCAGGGAGGAGAGTTAGACCAGAAATATTTGAACACTAACTCTCTGACAGTTATTTCACAGGCAAAGGCAATTTCCACTGGAAACATAGTTGTCAGCAACTTTCTAACACCAGTTCTCTGTCACACATCCCTAGATAATCTATTGTGTTGACTCCTCCGTGACAGCAGAACCAAGCCTGCTGATATGGAGTTGAATTTTTGGTGAATGCCAAGTTGGCAAAAATTTGGCCACAGTCCTGAATTTCTGAGGACAGGGCTGTTAAAGCAWAGTGTGAGTTGCACAGGGCTTCAGAGTTGAGTAGCAATAACAATTACTGCACCAGCAGYCCAATAAGTAAAGGAAGACTGTGTCTTCCTATTTCACAGAGGAGATGCTAGGTCAGCTCTGCAATCAAGTTAGTTATCAGGCACCTGGCTATATAAGGGCAAAATACATCAGCACTTGATGTCATGTTTGTCACAGCCACTCAAAGAATGATGGGATGACCTTAGTGTCAGCATCAGAGTAGGTACTTCCCCCAACCTTGGTTTAATYCAAGAGCTAAGAACCTTTTTTGAGGCCTAACGCCTCTTCTCCATAACAAAATTTGATTTAGGAATTAAGATCCTTGGGATGTTGAATTATAACTTGAAAAAGTTGAGAAAAACAATCAAGACCACCACATCCTCTAATTAAAAAATATGAAAGGAACTCAACTGAATGTCAATTAAAAATATTATAAAGCATGATTCGCTTTATGATAGTCACCTTTTAAAAAATATTTAAAAACATGATGCTTTAGAAGCCCATAAGTTGGGGGGCATCTTTATTACTAACATTGGTATGGACTGGGTCAACCTGCCCTCCTTTCTCCAATATCCTTGGGTAGCCCAATTAGACAGACCACTGTGATGGGACTTCATTAATGTGATACAGTAGGACAGACCTTTTGCTTTGAAGATAGAGTGAAAAATCTGGGTTTGCCTTGATGCTTGCCTGTTATCTCTAGGTCATCCTCGATTTTTCAACCAGCTTTCCTCTGGATTGGATATCATTGGTTTAGCCGGTGAATGGCTGACATCAACTGCCAATACCAATATGTAAGTCTCATATATTCTTTTATATATAAATATATATATACATATATATGTGTGTATACATATATATGTATGTAGTTGTAGATGGACACAATACCTTTATTTTATTGATTTATTTTTATGTGGTGTTGAAGATTGAACCCAGTGCGTCACACATGCTAGGCAAGCACTCTACCATTGAGCCACAACTCCAGCCCCTCATATATTCTTTTCATATAAGCAACCATGATCTATGACTACAGTTTATTGCTTTAAAATTTCAATTTCAGTAGTTCTGTTTTATTCCCTGGTCATTTTTTCCCTTAAAATCTTTTAGATTTCTCACAGCCCTGGTTTAATAGTAGATACTTGATTAGTGTTTTTTTAATTGAATAATGCAACTTAAGAGAATGGTCATGAGAATTCTAGCTTTCAAAATAAGTGTGAAATTTCATGTTAGTAGACTCCATTATTCTTACTGGTATATCTTAAAAGGCTGTGTTTTGGGGTATGATCTTGGCTTCCTTTTCCCATTCATTGGTCCTTATCACTTAGGTAATATTTCTTCCATAATTAAAGCTGACATAAAGCCAATAGCCAATCTGATCAACATATTGCTTAACTAAAAATTCTAAAATGAAATTCAGCTGATACTGATACACTATACATTTCTTTCAAAATAACTAATCGTTTTGCTGARTTTGACATCTTCCCCACACTGGTTTATGTAGATAAAGCTTTCATTATTTCTAAATTCCAGTAAATTTACATGAAACTGACTCTAAGATCTYGGAGGTACAAGAACTACCTGGGTAGCCTTCTCGCAATCACCCTAAAGTTTCCTCTGCACACATGTGTCCTCTTTGGAGATAAGGACAGGAGTAATGGAGGGTCATCATAGCTTAGTAATTCCTGTCTTTTCTCTTGACAACAATAACAGCATTTCATCATGATCTATGCAGCCAGACAATGGCACCACATTCCATTAATGTATTCAGAGGAAAATAATGAAACAATTTTTTACAATAATTTAAATAATAACTATAGAAGAATTATAAGGGTGTTAGTTATTGTGGAAATATTCAGAAAGCTAATTACCCACTTACTTATTTATTTATTCATTTTGTGTGGTGCTGGSAAATAAGCCCAGGGCCTCGTGCATGCTAAGCATGTGCTTTATCACTGAGCCATACCGATACCCTCAGCCCCACTCCGACTCTAAGTTCATGGTAGAATAGATTCTGAAAAATGAATTTAGGTCAAAGAGTGGAACTGTTTAAAATGAGAAATTCCATTTGATATCAAGACAATGCAAATTATTAAAGCTCAAGGTATTCCATTTTTCTTAAATAAACTATAACCAACCACAAAACCAGACAGGCATTTTCAAATTACATATTGTTCATGTGCATTCCAAGGCTGTCTAATGCTATGACTCAAAATACTAAAACTACATTCAAGAAATGTTTCTATTAATTAAAGATTCCTGCTTTGTTTGCTAATGTTAAAAACACTGACATATTTTGTAAAGTAAATGTGACAAGTGAAGCCTTCAGTGCTAAAAGGCATTAAAAAATCAACTGATTGAAAAATGAAAACGGTTTTCATGCTCTCTGCTCACAAGTCATGAGTAACTTCACAGAACGTCCACATTGGATCACAGAGACTTCAAAGGGCCAAGAGGAATTCAGGTCGAGGACAAAATTAGCTTGGATGATGGCCTCCACCCAAAAGCTCCCTTTTGCAATCTTTACTGTATTACRATTTGGGGGATAAAAATATTTCTGCAAGCACAGGCATCATAATATGCTAATTATAACTTGAAAAAAATACAGTAATGCTTAATTATAGCATATAACACTAGGCAACAATTTAAATTAGAAAACACTGTTTTTTAAGTCAATAATTTCAGAAAATAAATGAAAAAAGCAGATTGTAAGGTACATATTCACTAAGGTGCAAGTATCTATAGTAATATAGGTACTGAATTTACCCACCATCTTTAAATACGTATTCTGCAGACCCTCAGCTGTGGCTTCTTAACATACCTAAGCCACTTTCAAGGTAAATAAAAGGGACTCACCCTTTTTAACCATTTATGACCAGATATTCTCCTAAAAAGACTTCTCTTCAACCAGAAAGATCCCACAAATTATTCTTTGTCTGTGTTCATAAAATCAAAATTCCTTACTTTTCTCTTACCTCAGCTCAGTCATGAAACACTAAAATATGTCCCAGCCATCTGAGGTCAAGGCCAGTCCAACTAAATGACACATAGTAATTGCCACTGTACCGAACAGTAGATATTTATAAAATATGATCTGATTCCAGTAGATCGATAGAGGAGGTTATTTAAAATAGTGAAATAGTTTCTGTCAGTTTTGGAGAAAAGGCATTGTCTGAAGAAGTAATAMCTATTATCTAGAAATCATTCTAAGCCAGTTTCCCTGGAAGATCATGAAATGTGGCAGCACTATAGGAGCTTAGGCAGCATTTGTTCCCTTGGGACAATTCCTTCTCCAGCTGGGAACAGCATTCAAAATATGTCTGGGGAAGAATGGCAAAAAGAATCTTTCATTGGCAGAGCATGATTTAATTAGTGATATCCCCYTTTTCCCACTTGGCCTTGCACTGAGTATGGGGGCAGTAGTGATAGAGAATAATTACTATATTTCTCCGTACAGTCCCTTAAAAGAACTGTCTAATATTCTCATTCAAGTAGCAAAGGGTAAGGTGCCTCTTAGCAAAGAAAGAACATTTGAACATTTATGCTTATGCCTCTACACCTGCTTGTGCATGTAGCTTCGAGATCTGTTCTTCCACGCAAGGACCCAGTGAATCTTCAAAGAAAACTTGCAAATATGTAGTTGTCCTTGGCACATCCAATTCTTTTCTTCCAAGAACAAATGTGCAGGTTGAGCAGTGCCCAAGTGTAAACGACAGCCTCTCTCAAACACCTGATGGCAATATATAATCTTAATGGCCAGCTCTATCACAACTCTTTGCTATGAGGTTATGATTTCAAGCATCTAGTGCTTTATTTTCATAGGAGTTACATAGGAGAAATTTCCTATGGGAGTTATCAGTCATCGAATACTACCAGGCAGGCTGTTAGAGAGTAGCCTGCAGTAAGCAGTTCTCATTTGTCACACACACACACACACAAAAAGCAGCTATGACATGAAAGTCTTGGGATTTGGGCTCTGAAAGACGCCAAAGTGAAATCTTAACCCAAGACATAGAATTTCTCTGAACATCATTTGCTTCATCAGAAAATTGGGGGATGATAATATCCATCCTACAAAGTGGTTCTGAAAACTAAGAAAGGTTGCAGTCCTAAACGCCTAGTGGATACAAGATGCAGTGCACACACTGAGGAGAGGCAGCTACCTCACAGGTCACTGTTGTCATTTGAGACCTCCCCATTCAGCTTTGTGGATTTTTCTTTTTTTCTTTTTCTTTTTTTTTTCAGTCTGTCTTCAACTCTGGACAACAGAGGTTTCACTAAGCTTCCCTCAAACATATTACCTTTTAAGATTAACCCATAACTATAGAGTGAGGAATCTAAGAAATATCAAGATACATAGTCACCTTGTGTTTTAGTCAGTATTTTTGCTGCTGTGACTAAAAGATCTGACCAGAACAACTGTAAAAGAGAAAAAGTTTATATGGGGGCTCACAGTTTCAGAGGTCTCAATCCATAGACAGTAGGCTCCATTCCTCAGGGCTCAGATGAGGCAGAACATCATGGTGGAAGAGTGTRACAGATGGAAGCAGCTCACATGATGATCAGGAAGCAGAGAGAAGTATTCTCTTACCAGATACAAACATAGACCTCAGAGCCACACCCCAATGCCCCACCTCCTCCAGCCACACCCCACCTGCCTTCAGTTACCATTCAGTTAATCCCATCAGAGGATTGATTCATTGATTGGGTTAAGACTCCCACGACCCAATCACTTCTCWGAACTTTCTTGCATTGTCTCACACGTGAGCTTTTCTAGGACACCTCACATCCAAACCATAACACCATGGAAGATTATTTCTTTCCTTCTTTAAAGAAGTCCTCATTTGACAGTCACCAGGGATCCAGGTTCCTTGTGCCTTTTTGATCTATATTGTAGCATATGGCTCTCATCCATATGCTACATGTTGGCTTCTGGAATTCTAGCCTGTATTTCTATGTTCCAGAACACAGGAAGGAGGAAAGCAGGAAAGAGTGAAGGGCTAAGGAAAGGAGAAGGAGTAAGGAGGAGGGAAGGAGGAAGGAAAGGCTAGCAGGTAAAAAGGGAACACTCTTCCTACTACTAAGAAACCTCAAAAGTCACACGCAGCATTTCCCATAGCAGCAGTTTAGCCAAAACTTAGTCCCATGGGCACACTTAAGGAGGCCAGAAAACATAATCTTTGATCTGGGTGAATTGCAACCTTAAAAAAAATTAATGAAGAAAGGGAAAATTGATACGGTTAGCAACTAGCAGACTCTGCCACAAGGGAACTACAGAGGTTTGACAATCAATTTGCCTTGGTCCTGAATAAATCCCACTAGGAAAGTGAGTTGTACCACTAAAAAGGAGCTGACTCACGTCCCTACTCAGAATTTAGAAAGGCTCAGAATTCTCCTTTAGTGCTACTCTATGAGTATCCCCATCTTACCGTTTAAATCCTTACTTCCAGTCCCATGTTCTCATGCTATGACCCAAAGTATTTTGCAGGTTAGTGTCTTGTTCTCTGATTCTGAAATGTGATCTTGAACTCTGACGTAAGCATCTAACCAGCTGCTTCTGAATCCATATTTAACCTTGGATCTCTTTATTTCATCTGTTTTCATCTGTCATATAGGGAAAGAGTACCTAACCTGGRGTCCAGATTGTGTAAGAGGAGAATTTCCTATAATTATACACAAAATAATGTGCATAACTTTTTACCTAGAGATAGGGACCTAGCTTTCCTAGGATTCCTAAGGGAGTTTGTGACCCCCCCATTAAGTCAAGAACTTCTGCTCTATGGTAAACTTTAAGACCTTCTATAAGGCTTTGGGTGCAAGCATACTTCCCCCAAAACAATTATAAACATGACCTAGAATGGGAAGGCAGGGTAAGAAGTGGCATTAGGAATAGGGAACACCACGTTATCCCATTTGTCAGTTAGGAATAGGGAACACCACGTTATTCCATGGATCAACAGCTGTGGGCCAGTCTCCCAGCTCATAGGAGAGGAAGAATGTCAGATTAAGGTCATGAGCCAGAATAAGTTTGTTGTTAGTTTGGGAAAATTGATCCTTTAGACCTAGGCAGGGACTGTCAAACAGGAGGTACCTTAGGTCAAGAGTCAGATGCTGGATTCCCCTAAGAAGCTTCCTCCTCAAGATTGGGAATTCTTCATCTCCTCCATGCATAGGATATTGCCTGGCACTTAGTAAGCATTGGATGAATAGAACTGAAAAAAGTTTAGGAATCAAGTGCCTGGCATAAATAAYGAAATTGAAATAGACAAGGTCAGATAGCCTCATGATAGAACCTTCTTGACTTCCTATAGAACCTGAAAGTAATGGCCGTGTTACTGGTCTTATGTAAGAACAATTCCTGCAAACCTGAAGCCTAAGTAGATTGAAATCATGAAACTCAGAGCTGAACCAAGCCCCTGGTCTTTGGTACTGTGCCTTCTCCCTTCCCCATGCAATTCGCATCTGGCTGTCTAACACCAACTTAATTCTAACTCAGCTTTCATACAATCCTTGATACGTTATAGTAAATGATTTCATTTGTTCCTTGCCTTACCCCAGAGAGATTTCTCTGGTATTGTAAGATTCTAGCACACACACTTGCCATCTATATCTCTTCACCATGCAAACATTTTTGCCATTCCAACTTTTCCAAAAATCTGTGGAACCACTGATAATTCATTTGTTCAAGAATGGGTGGAAGCACATCATGAGTTTGCCTCTTGATACACTCAGCAGCACAGGCTAAACCAGGAATCCTTCTCTTCTTCTTCCTTTATCAGGCCATCAGACATGAGGGAGTGTTGGTTGCTACGGTGATGGGGCTCAGAGCAGAACCAAAGCATGATTGTGACCTCCAGAGGTGATGGTAACTGAACACATGGTTCCCAAGGGTCTTCCTCCTAAATTTCCAGGGGCCTCCCAAGGAAAATGGACATGTTCTTATTGGAAACAAAATTCTTTTACCAACAGACATTTCCTGAGGATCCTCTCGGATCTTTTTGTCCTCTTCTATTGTCGTGTGATTAATGTGACTGCTTTTTCCTCTATCATTAAAACTTAGTAGCTTCACCCATGTCTCATGTACAGCATGAGTTATCTCGTCCTTGCAAATAGCTTTTCTAAATCATTTAACAAGCAAGAATTCCCATTAGTCCTAGTCACTAGCACACCCTAACCAGTGACAATGCCTCCCCACATCACTTGACTGAGTCGGTCTAGGCATCTCTCTTCAGCCCAGCCCACAGACTCAAATGCTTAAGAAGTTCAAGCAGAACCAAGAAAGACAAAGAGCCTTAGAGCTTAGTAAATATCTTTTGGTCTTCTGGCTTAATTTTAGGTAGATGGACCTTCCTTCATTTCTCTTAGGCTCTGTTTGGTGCATGATCTTGTTTCAATGACTGTTCTACTAGGCTGTGCCTCTGCTTTGAATTGCTTTGAAAGAGCATGGCTTGCCACTTTCACATCAATTTATTAGGAGACAAATGTAACCTGCCAGGAGATCTGATGCCCACAGTTAACTGTGTATGCCAGTTGACTATCTTCTTGTTATTTATAATTTGTAATTAGAAAGTCATCACTTATAATTATTCTTGACAGATATTGACCTCAGAGAATTATAGATACATAGCTGTCCTTGGGGAATATCAGTAGAAAAACCATGTAGATAATTTTATTAAGGTCTTTAAAACATGGGTCAATATTTCCAATTATTTTCACAGTTAGCTCTGAGATGTTTACATTATTTGTAAAAAACAGACTTTGGCTCTGGTTTTTATAGATTCTACAAGTGTGAAACTGGCAGTCCTTTTTAGAAATGTTGCAAACCAATTTTCAGGAGAACTTAGAATATATTTTTTTCAATTAACATTTGCTCTGTCCCACACTAAGTCTTAGAGGTGAAAGGTAAAAACGACCCAGAAAAGTCATTACCTTTCCTTCTATTCCTCTGGGTGAACCATACCTAAGACTGATGAATCTGTTCTGCTGGTGAAGTACCACAGAGCACACCCTCCCACCACCACCACCTCTCTCCCTCTCTTGGTTATCCAGGCTGGTTTCTGACATTTTATGATTGGTGAGTTAATGCATTTCCAGGAAATGAATTGTTTTAGGGGTTTTGAACATCTGTTTAGAATCCAAGTTCTAAACCGATTGTCTGTGTTCCAAAAATAAGTGATTTCACTTCTTTATTTTCATCCTTTTTCTTAACATCTTTTCAGGTTTACATATGAAATTGCACCCGTGTTTGTCCTCATGGAGCAAATAACTCTTAAGAAGATGAGAGAGATGATTGGATGGTCAAGTAAAGATGGTGATGGGATATTTTCTCCTGGTAGGTTTCTCTGACTGTCYTCAAGGTTTTATAATATGGGTCCTTGGGATTCTTGGATGAAGGCTAGCAAGAATGCTACATTTTCTCTGAACTAAAAAAGGCTGTGCCTAAATCAGTACAAAGTAACAAAGGCTGTATGAGGTCATGCGACACAAAGCTTCACTGTCAATAGCAGTTTGATGTGCTGGAGAATCAGTGTGTCAAGATTATTAATGAACTGATTAACTTCAGCCAAATTGTGTATCTACTTTGAATCTCTAGTTCAACATAGATACAACAAGGCTGAGGCAGGAGAATGGTAAATTCGAGGCCCACCTGGATGACTTAGTAAACTCCTTTCTCAAGATAAAAGTGAAAAGGGCTAAAAATGTAGCTCAGTAATCGATTACCCCCAAATTTAATCCTCAGTACCACCAAGACAAAAAAAAAAAGTATCAGTAATCTTCAAAACAAAGACAGGTATTCTTGGAGTAGGGAGGAGTTTTAGATGGTGTCAGAGAGAGTGTGATTGTGTGCAAGGTGGAGAGAAGAAATAAAAAAATGCAACTGTCCAGGCAATTCAAGCAGACCATGAATTTGCCCATTTCATTTCAGGTAACTGATGGAAAAGTGGCTAGTTTCCAGTGGCCATACCTGCCTCGATAGTTACCTCAATTCTCCTTGTGTCTTTATCCAGTTAGAACATGAATTCATTTTTATTTAAGTAAACTTAAAGCTCTCCAAAATGACTCAAAAACCCAGTCACTAAACAATGTCACCATTTCCTTCTGTAGGTTTCATTACTCTCTCTTGATCTCTCTTTCCCTCTCGTCTTTCTGGACTCAGGGAACAGATTCTTTTTTTGTTCAGTAAATAGATTGAACAGACAGTAGAAGCCGAAAGGTTGTAACTCACCCATCTCTTTGTAGCTACTGCTGCCACATCCTCTTGTATTTCTATCTAGGCTTCCTCTGGGAGGGGCACTGGAGTAAGTGAATCACCTCCAGCCAAATTGCCTACACGGCCTTGGAAGTGAGTGTGGCCACTTCTATCCCCAGGGACAAGGGTCCAGAGAGAGGCCCTGGCAATAGGGAAGCCCCCCAAACATATCAGGATATTATCCTTCCCCTTCCTGACCTCCTTTCTTTCTTGAGACACCAGCTCAGGCTTTGAGCTAGAAGCAATAATGAAAGAGCCCATATGTCTGCTTGCTGATAGGGGGAGCCATATCCAACATGTACGGCATCATGGCTGCTCGCTACAAGTACTTCCCGGAAGTTAAGACAAAGGGCATGGCCGCTGTGCCCAAACTGGTCCTCTTCACCTCAGAACACGTGAGTCAGGGGCTTTGGCACACGGATGCGGGTGTTTTCCAAGGCACTGTTAAACTTTTAACCTTAAGCCTCCATGTGTTGCAGAGTCACTATTCCATAAAGAAAGCTGGTGCCGCGCTTGGCTTTGGAACTGACAATGTGATTTTGATAAAGTGCAATGAAAGGTAGGCAGGGGAGAGTGAATATTAGGTTCTTGATGTATTAAATGTGTTCATCTGTTAAATTTGTTTTATTGTGCTTAAGGACTGGTGCAGTACAGTGTGCCAAGCTGCTAATGGTCTGTTGAAAATACCCGATTAAATTACTTTTTTTGCTGCTGCTGCTATAAGTTTTTTCATGTGCAGTCTCATTGATTCTTCATTTTAATTTCCCTCCTTTTACAATAATTACAGGGGAAAGATAATTCCAGCTGATTTAGAGGCAAAGATTCTTGAAGCCAAGCAAAAGGTAGGTACAATATAGTACACCTATACTCCAGTGACTATGAATTTTTTTAAATGCCCTATTTCTGATCTAGACAATGAAAATCTTTGACCCTTAGGTAATTTTATGTGTTTCTAAAATTCTTTTCTCAGATATTTGCTTATTTGCAAATTATGAAATAATTTGGCCTCAAACGACTTGTAGATTGATGTCTACAAAATATTAGTTTTCTTTTTGAAAAATGAAAAATTTAGTCCCTAAACCACTTGCCTTCTTTATGCAAAGTGATTAGTTTGATATTCTTCAATAAATCAACTCCCTGAGCATTAGGAAGATCCAGCCTAATTGGACTTGTTTCTTCTTAAGTATGACCTCATTTTATTAAGAACATTTTAGCTTTAGAATTGTGTTACGCAAAGTGCTTGCATGCCCTAGCAGATGGCCAGGGGTATTTGGCAAATCCAGCCTCAACAAACTCTATTAAACAAACAAATTTCACAGAACAGATGTATCCTAAAGTCATTGCCAGGTAGCTGCCAGGCCATTTCCAACACATTGTTGTTTGGGTTATCTTTTTGTATCTCCTTCTCTAATTGTAGTTGTTTGCTGGGGTCTCTGCAGAGAAGGAAATGTTGCTAGGTCTGAGCAAGAAGGAGAGGTGAGAGACCTGAGCTTCAGAAGCACCTGAGGTTCAGATTTCCCCAACCTGTTTTATCTTTATAATCCATTTCCTCATTTGCTTCTTGTTCACATCAAATTTCACCAGGTGTTACTGTGTTAGCTTCCACAGTGTATAGACCTATTCTAAATAACTGAACAATTTTGGTTCAATTGTTTATATCAATGAACTTAAAACAACACAACACCTACAAAAAACAACATCCAGATGATATTCAGAAATGAAATATTTGGAATTATACCTGCCCATCACTCCAAACCCCTGTCACATACATTTATTTATTTAGCCACAGAACTTACCACTAAATGTAGGGTGTATTTTGATTATTTAATTTTATAATCTGTCACTTTTCCCTCCTTCTACAATGTAAACTTGGTGAATGCAGAATTTATCTACTCTGCTCACTGCTATAGCCCATCATCTACAACAGGGCCTGGCACATAAAAGTTACTAAAAGTTGAATGAATGAGTGAATGAACCAACAAAGAATACTACCATACCAGCTCTGTTGATCACTGTTTGAAATAAATGCTATTACTTTCTTCCAATTCATATGAAAGTGGGAAAATGAGAAAGGTTAAAAGCACTGATCAGCTTGCGCTCTCTCTCTCTCTCTCTCTCTCTCTCTCTCTCTCTCTCTCTCTCCCCTCATAGGGATATGTTCCTCTTTATGTCAATGCAACTGCTGGCACAACTGTTTATGGCGCTTTTGATCCGATACAAGAGATTGCAGATATTTGTGAGAAATACAACCTTTGGCTCCATGTCGATGTAAGTGCTATAATTCACAGAGCAGCCCAGTCTATTCAGGGAATGGAAGCAGCTCTGTTTTATGATTTGCTTCAAGCTGCTCCCAACACCCCAGCTGGCCTTTTCTGCACACCAAGGTAGTTTCAGCTCTTCCCTGGTCACTAGCCAGCTAATCAGGACTGATACCTACCAGAGACCTGGGACTCTTCCAGTTCCTTAGTGTTCAGTTGCTATCCTCTGTGGTTCTTCCTAGAATATGGTTTCTATTGCCTTTCCAGGTTCCTTTGTTCAAACAAATGGCTACAGAGTACAATATAGCTGATTTAAAAAGGGGAAAAGTGTAGGACACCATATACAGAAAGTGACTACAAATGTGAACACTCAGCTACCTGCCTGAAGTCCAACCTTCTAGGACATTTTTCTAAAAAGAGTGCCTACCTGCTACATGCAGGAAAAATAAGGAAATATATAGAAGATATTATCAWCTAAGAGGTTTAGTCCCAAATTTCCCTGGCAATACAAAAGGTGCACTTTCACACGTGTGATTGGGTGTCTTTTTCCTTTGTTTCTGTCCATCCTTTGATGCATTTAACTTCTTACAACAGGACAATGGGGACATCTGCCCGGCTACTGAACAATAACTAACAAAAGCTGCTGTGTCGGATAACATGCCAAGCTATCTAGTAAACATGTGTCAGTACCCACAAAAATGTCCTGCTGCTGCTGGAGCTTGGTGGGACCTCCAGACTGGTGGGAGTTGATGCTTTCTGATTTTCTCAGGAGCTTTTAGAATTCTATTCTAGGAAGAAGCAGACAGCATGCCCCAGCCCTTGGGGTAGCTTCCAGGACCTCCTTAGGAGACTCACAGTATCCCTGGCTTTCCACAGTACTTTGGGTCTTGGACACAAAAGACACCATAAGCTCAGACCTGGCTTATGGGTATCAGTCAGAGAGCTGACATTCAACTGGAAGAACTTTGTGTTTCTTTCTTTTTTTTTTTTTTTTTTTTTTTTTTGGTGGTGCTAGAGATGGAACCCAGGGCCACTCACATGCTAGGCAAGTGCTCTACCACTGAGCTACATTCCCAGCCCAGAACTTCTGGTAAAGAAATGATCAATATTGAGGGTACTGGTTGAATAGGGTGGGCTCCTTTTATCAAAGAAGCTTGCTTTTCACCTTTTACGTTCTGCTGGTGTGTTCCTAGCGGTGTGGAGTGACTGGTCTTAGATCTCAATGTTGCTGCTCCTCTCCCTCCTTTCTCTGTCCTCACAGGCTGCCTGGGGCGGTGGGCTGCTCATGTCCAGGAAGCACCGCCATAAACTCAGCGGCATAGAAAGGTATGGGCCACACATGCTGGGCCTCCCTGCATCCGGAACACCAAACACGCTGTGCTCTGATGTCAGCCTGCCCTGATTGCCAACACCTTTTCTCTGACTTAGTTCACTCTTAGTTCAGCAGGCATTTATTGAGCACTTACTGTATGATTGATTTATTAGTCAAATGAGTCCTCTGTGCATTCATAAATTAGATCCCTAAACAAGCAATTATAACACTGTGTCATAAGTATGACAGTAGATAAAATTACAGGTGCCCAGGATGGAGAGAAGAGACACTAAATAGTGTGGGGATTTATTTGGAGGCTCAATCAGAGTTAGCCAAGGGTACAAGAAAGTCCAGCCATTCCATTTGTTTTTGATTTTATTTTTGTTTTTCCTCAGTAAACTGACTCCTGGGAAAATAACAAGATGCTCAGCTCCAGCTACCTTGTCTTAGCAGTACTGGGATAAAGGGAGACAGGAAGCAAGGATATGGGAAAGAGTGTTCTAGGCAGTGGGAATGGCAAGCGCAAAGGCCCTGAGGCAGGACTGTTATTGGCAAACTGAAGAACCAGCAGAGAAACCAGTGAGGCTGGAGCAAAGCAGTGGGGTGGGTTAAGAGCAGACCACGATGGGAGAGATGGATGTCGAGCAAGTACCAGGCAGCACACCATGATTTCTTTTCTAGCAAGAACTCTGGCTTTTGTTACCACTCCTCCCTTCTGTCTCAGTTTCAAAGTGCCAGTGTCAAGATGGGCGAGACTGCTGTTTGAAGCATGATTATATAGTCCTATAACTTGGAAAATAATATATGCAATGACCATGAGCCAGCCCAACTGGACATGAAATTTTTCAGGCAGTTTTCTCTTCCCATCTTTGACTCTAGGAAAACCTAAAATATTTCATACCAGACTTTTTTTTTTAACATTTTAAATGTTAAAAAAAGTGTCTTTTAAATAAAACTGAATTCATACCCTGTCTTATTACTTTCCATTTATAGCAGTAAAAATAATAATAATTTACTTCAGACCTTCAAGATATTCAGAGAACCATTTAAGACATTTTATGAGATCTTAATATGATTTTTAAATGACTTGATAAATGACAGCAATGAGAAAACTGATCAAATTCACTACCTTTTAAATGTGGTTGAAGAGGTTAAAAATTCACAGCAAGGGTTTAGTGCGAAGAGTAGAGGCAGTATAATTCCAAGGCAATTGCTCTGTCAGGGAAAAGCAGCTTTTCACAGGTATGAAAACACAGTGCTCAGCTGTGGGCCAGGCTATGGGGCAAGAAGTCTGTAACCCACTGAAGCAAGTTACCCAAGTTTTAATCAACATACATACTTGGTTGTTTCTGTAATTCCTGGCCCATGTGCTCCTTCACCATCTAATTGTGTCTGATGGACTGATGCTGTTGCTAGGAGACAGTGCTTGTTGGGTTAGCATTGCAGCTCAAACTGGCAAAAATCATGCTCATTTAGCATTTAAACAGTGCTGCTAAAGTAAATTAATAAATAATAAATTTAGAAGATTTTTAAAAATAGGAGGAAAAATCAGTGCAACTAGTTGGTCAAAGTCTAGAATAGTCTCACAGTTGATTTTTACTTTCAGGTGTCACTCTTTATTACTGAACCATACATAGGTAGGTTCCATGTCACCCATCCATTTTAAAAATAAGAACAGAAAGGCACAAAGAATCCAAGGTCTGGTGCCCAGAGAGAGACAGTCTAGTGGAGTGGGCATGAGCACGGGCTCGAGGGCTCTACAGTTAGACTCCTGGATTTGAATCTTTGCACCAGTCCTTCCCAGCTGTGTGGCTTTAGGTAACACATTTAACCTTGTACATCAGTTTCTCCATCTAAATTAGGAGCAGTAATAGTACCTATATCATAGGGTTGTGTGGGAATTATGTGTTCCAGGCACTAATATAAGTATTTTATATTTATTAACTCATTTTATCCTTTATTTGATTCTATGAGGTAGACTTCCCATCTTACCGATGGGAAAAGTGAGGCCCGAAGGAGTTATGTAACCTGCCCAAGTTAGCAAATGTCAGAGCCAGGATTTAGACTTGGACAGGTTGGCTTCAAAATCTGAACTCTTAACCACACTCCCATATCGATATATGCCTAAAGCTCAAAGAACAATCAAACACATAAATTCTCCATAAATGTTACCTATGATTAATAGCAGTTACTTAGCAGATGCACTCTGCAACGTAATACTCTGAACCTGCCCGCAAATATTTATTACTAGATTGTCAATTTAGGAGAATAGGCGGGGAAAGATTTCTGACTCAAGTGGAGACGGCTGGCATTTCCATCCACAGGGCATTTGSCTCTCTCTCAACTCCTGCACCTTCTCCTCAAAGGATCATGTGCTTCTTTCAGGGCCAACTCAGTCACCTGGAACCCTCACAAACTGATGGGCGTGCTGCTACAGTGCTCTGCCATTCTCGTTAGGGAAAAGGTCTGTACTCCCTGCAGAGATCCGCCTGCAGGTCCATTTGAAGGCACAAGAAGGGAAAAGCTTGGGGTCCTTTCACATACTTGCGGGCTAACTCACAAGATTGGCAGCCCCATTGTGAGACTGTGGTTACTGTCCTTTCCTGCCCTTGTGGCTCACCTAGATTCTCCTCCAGGCTCTTGCATCGACTGCCCTTCCTCCTTGTTCAGCACCAACCTGTGAGGGAATTATTTGTGCATCCCTTCGTGTTTGCACAAATATGAGAGTGATCAGGTGAAGACAAAAGTGCTCACTGGAACAGACTTTGAGTTCTTAGTATGAATTCTTAGTATGAATGGCTGAAATAAGGAAAAAATCAGTTCTTGCCTAAGGAACAAGAACTACAAATACCAACACATAACAATAGGAGCCTGCCTTCCAAAGCATCTCTGCTTCCTAAAACTGCTGCACCCTAAGGCATCCTAGAAAGCCCAGCTTGAGAAACCTAGACCTGCATAGCCCTTGACTCCACTCAGACACCAAGTCCCTGTTAACTTCATAGCAGATCTTGAAAAAGTCAGAGGACTTTTGGGAGGCACTCTTGGGGAGAAATTTTCTTCCCATCATGAAACTGTCCCACCCATTTAGGAAGTTTATATCCTTAATGCCTGCTCACTGAATGCCATAGCACTTCCCAGACTTTGAAACAACTCACAACACACACACACACACACACACACACACACACACACACACACTCTTCCAAATGCCCTGAGAGGGATAGGGCATCTGAGGAAAGAGATCATTTGCTCATCAATGACAGAGGGCAAAAGGGAAAAGTTTTTCCAGGAGTGGTTTTAGAGAAGGATATCAGAACAAGTATAAGCCCTCAGAAAGTTATCAGCAGAAAGACTGCATGTGACCCCCAGTCCCCTCTGTGCATCGACATCTCTAATCTGTGAATACAGATGCACGCACCTTGATTTCCACGACAGGGTATACTCCAAGGATGCAACCAGATGTGCGCAGGGTACCTCTTCCAGCCGGACAAGCAATATGATGTCTCCTACGACACGGGGGACAAGGCAATTCAGTGTGGCCGCCATGTGGACATCTTCAAGTTCTGGCTGATGTGGAAAGCAAAGGTATGAAGGGGGACATTTGGGAAACAGAGCAGAAATGTAATTTGCACAGACCGCCTGTGAAAGAGATGCCATGGTATATCACGGGTAACTCACTATGTGTGTGATCAATACTTAGATAATTGAGTTAACTGTATTTTCTTTGTGAATGAAATAAGTTTATCACTTAGGCCGAAGTCTCTCTTCTTCCTTCAGTTCTGTATCCTCAGTTTGAATTATCATGAAGTTGTCTTATAACTTTCTCTTATAACAACTAAAACTTGTGCTAAGATAAGGATTTCTACAGCAATCCGTAGGGATGCTAAAATTACCTAGTGTAGACATAAAGAAAGAGGTAAAAGATAAAACAACTGCTTTACACTGAGAAGAACCCTAATTTCCTTTATGAGGCTTCTCATCAGGGAATATATATGACAGTTTCAAGTTCTATTTAAGAAATGCCTTCTCCATTATTTGTACTTTATACACTGTTCTAGAAACTACACAATGTGTGTGTGTGTATGTGTGTGTGTGTTGCTGAGGATTGGAAACTGCATACTTTGAGAAATCCTGTACTAGACTGAAACATGTTCTTTTAGCCATCTTCAGGCTCTTGGGTTGCACTTCAGTTCATAGGGGGACAAAGCTTAACTATTAGAATTTCCCCAAAAAATATGAGTAATGGAGAAGATTACTAGTAACTGTTTCAAAAGCTTTTTTTTTTTTTTTTTTTTTTTTTGGTATCAGGGATTGAACCTAACCACTGAGCCACACACCCAGCCCTTTTGTATTTTATTTAGAGAAGGGTTTCTCTGAGTTGCTTAGGGCCTTGCTAAGTTGCAGAGGCTGGCTTTGAACTCCCATCCTCCTACCTCAGCCTCCTGAGCCACTGGGATTACAGGTTTGCACCACCACCCCCAGCTCAAAAGAATTTTTATATGACCAAGTAAAGGCAATTGATTTCACAACTGTATATCACATTAATTTTTTATTTACCTATTATAAGTTAATTTTAATAATTTCCGTGTTTAAGATGAGGACCACCTAATACCAAAACAACAAGGATTTCTAACAAAATATCAAGTTAGTGTGCCTTAACATAGAAAGAATCTGAATTTAATTTCTACCATAAAGAAAACAAAAGCCATATATTGCATTAAGAGAAAGAGCCCTATTATTTAGAAATAATATTATTTAGAAATACTGTAATGACCCCATGGCCCATCTCAGTCATTTTGCCTAATGATAGCCTCTTGAACCGTCCTCAGGAGGGTTRGCTCATGGTGCATCATTTGCTGAGGTGGGATCCTGGTGGAGGCTTCATTCCTAGGAACCAGTCAGCAGTGACACTACTAGGAAGCTCAGGCTTTGCCAACCTGTACTCTGCCCAGGCCCATCAGCCATCCACAAGCTGGCCTTGTGCATCTGCTCTCCTTGTTAACACCCACCCACTCAACAACCCTCGTGCTGCCTAGTAACCATCTATGCTGGCTTTGGAAACTCACACTCATCCAGTTTGTCAATAGTTGGAGCTATTGCCGTCTCAGGGCAGGAACTGAGACCAATGACTTTCCCCATCCACTTTGCCTGCCTGCCTGTCACTGAAAAGGAATAATTCTGTGCTAGGTAAAAGGTAGCTTGCCTGCAAGAGTGTGGAATGTGTTTGGTCAGGACTTGGCTGGGGAAGATGGGTTCTAAGGTAGTAATCTTTTAAGAACCAGTTGTTTGTTTTGTAACCTATCATGAACTGTTACAATTAAGAATTGCTAGAGAATATCATGCTAAGTGAAATGAGCCAATCCTACAAAACTGAGGGCTGAGTGTTTTCTCTGATATGCGGTTGCTAATTCACAATAAGGGTTGGGGCTAGAGAAGAATAGAGTTACTTTAGATTAGGAGTGATGGGAGGGGAGGGGTATGGGGGTAAGAAGGATAGTAGAATGAAGCAGACATTATTACCCTATGTACACTATAACTATACACCAGGTGGGATGCTACGTCATGTACAACCAGAGGAATGAGAAATTATACTCCATCTATGTATGATGTATCAAAGTGCATTCTACTGTCATGTGCAACTAATTAGAACAAATAAAAAAATAATTGCTGGAAAAATGAAATACAGAACATATAAAATATAAGCCAATATTTTCATTAGAGTCAATATGCATAAAATTACTCTGTTGAATGGCTTTAATAGTTTCTTAATGCCTAATCGCAATGTCTATAACTCATGTCATCCTGGACTGGTTATGGTTTGTGGACTGGCCTCAGTCCAGATATGACTCTTTGAGTAGCACTATCCTAAAGAAATGAGAAATGGGCATCAAGTTGAGGTTATGAATAACTAGCAGGAAGCTCAAAGCCCTATTGAGAATAACTTCCCAGAGACGAGAGTGTCTTCAAGAGAGAAAGCAAGCCCACTTCATCTTACTGTCCTCAGAGCTTTGAAAAAGCTGTACTTATTCAATTAGATGGTTTTTCCTGACTATCTCCATCCAGGAACACTCCTTTTGATATTCCACATAGACAAGGACAGCACAGCCTTCCCAAATGCCCATCCCAGGGAAATACAACTTACCATCAACAACTATGACCTTTTTCTTTAAAAACAGGGCACAGTGGGATTTGAAAATCAAATCAACAAATGTCTAGAACTGGCTGAATATCTCTACACCAAGATTAAAAACAGAGAAGAATTTCAGATGGTTTTCGATGGTGAGGTAAGTTGTTATGGACCAATGCACAGCACTTCCAGAAAACCACTGCAGGAATCTTCCAAAGCCATTATTCCCACATCACCATGAGCTGCTTCTGAATTTTCACTGTTCATTTAATTTCTCCACGTTCATGAACTTTTCTTCTGGTAGCACTGCACTGACTTTCCCCCCCTTTACTTCATTTAAAATCCTGTCACTCTCAGCCAGCCCTTTGCATACTAGAGATCTTTCCATAGAAGTCTGAATTTTTCATCATCCAGATGAAAATGTACTGGACCTCTATGATAAAGGGTTTCTCAATTCCAAGAAGCTTAGAATGGGATCTCTTAGGATGGGTATATGTTTACCCACCAAGACCAATTCTAAAATGAGATTCTGTTTTATTCTATGTAGAATAAAGGATTCAGATAAAATTGTCTTTTCCCTGAGTTTATACCCCAACTTCACACAGTAAAGCATTTATCATACTAGTGTTTACTGAGCTCCTACCACATTCCAGACCCATGCCAGGGACTGGATTATACAGTATTGGCCAAAACACATACTCTCTTCCCTAATGGAGCTCCCATTGAATAAAGAAAGATGAAATTGGAGCCAGTGCTGCGAAGAGAAAATCCACTCGGAACCCAGAGTATACAACACCACCTACATTTCACTTTTGCCTGTTTATCAGCAACCTCAACTATCAAGAAAATATCTGAGAGTCCCCAAATGAGCACAGAAAAAGCTCTGAGCAGTTAAAATCAATGGTCTAGTATTTGGGCATCTCACCCATGGGACCTTATTCTGATTCTTTGCATTATTTTAAACATTCTACTAGCAGATTGAAAACAACAAATGCAGTGTCTCAAGCCAGTCACTGGCAGATGTGGTGCTGGAAACGGCAACTAGGGAGGAAAGTGAAAACATCAAAAACAAACGATTTAGTATCAATAAACTAAATTATTTTTCAAGGATCTTCTGTATGTGAGCCTCTCCAAATGGCAAGATGAATAGTAACCTTCTTTTTCAATTACCTTAATGTACTTAATATTAATATTTCAGTGTTGAAAAGTGGTAACTGGAGTTATCTAGAAAATTGATTGCAGGGAGAAGCTCTGCTAAGAGATAGAATTGGATAAACCAGGCTTTTTTTGACTCTCATATGTAGAAGTAACAGGGTCTTGAGACAGATATTTAGTCCTCGTTTTTTGGATTGAGAAACTTCCACTGAGGGTGCATATGGGCTTGGGAACAGTTTTCTTTCATTTTCTCTTAATTATCTTTTGTTTGCTAAAATCTTTGCAGCCTGAGCACACAAACGTATGTTTCTGGTATATTCCACAAAGCCTCAGAGGTGTTCCAGATAGCCCCGAGCGACAGGAAAAATTGCACAGGGTATGGACCTATTTTTTTTTGTCTCATCTAATTCTTTGCAGTTTCTCTGGTCAGGACATCCTCATTCTAATGTGCCTTTCTAATGAGAAAGAAATGAAAAATAAAGACTTGGGATGGGCTTCTAGTGATGGGTGTTGGTGAGCCATCTTGTTACATTGTTCTCAGGTCTAAATTGAGCCCTTGCTTTAGGAAGCTCTAAAGAATGCATCCCACCTTAGGATGGCATTCTCCATTACAAGAACCCTATGCAGAACAAGTGAATGATAGACATATTTCTAGGAACATTTGACATGAAACTATATCCATTATGATACCTTTTTACTAAGTCTAAGTCTACTCTAATGTTGATTCATTTCAACTGTTCATTTCTGTATTTATCTATTATCCAGAGCTGTTAGTAATATATTTATGTAATATTTTATTTATCCAACTATGGAGCAAATATGTGTTCAATCCAGTATCCTGAGCTCCTACGCAGAAGCATTCATTTGTCTTTGTTTTTCTTTATTTTTATTTTTGTTGTTCCATGACTGACTTTCAAAATTCAGTCACCCCGTACTTTCTGAGRGATCTTATGACTGACGAGGCAGGCTTAAATAGTCATTAGATATTAGCCACAAAACACACCTGATATAAAATATTTCTTTGTGCTTATATCAGTGTAGACACAAATGGTGAAAAGCCAGTTGTTTGAACTGTTAAGAAGAGAAGGTGTTAATATCGGGTTTGGGTTTTGTTTTGTTTTCCATTATAAGGTGGCTCCAAAGATCAAAGCCCTGATGATGGAGTCGGGCACAACCATGGTGGGCTACCAGCCTCAGGGGGACAAGGCCAACTTCTTCCGGATGGTCATTTCAAACCCAGGCGCCACCCAGTCAGACATTGACTTCCTCATTGAGGAGATAGAAAGACTGGGTCAGGATCTGTAATCACCCTCGAAGAACAGAAGTTGATGGGACTCCCTTTCCCCTCTGACACTCTAGAACAAACCTCTATAAGTTGCTGAAACACATAGGTCATTTCATTGAAGGAAAATATAATATCTTGAAGAATACTTGTTACAACTTTAAGCTTGTTAGAGTTAGCAGGAAATAATGTTCTTTTTTTWAAAAAAGTTGCACATTAGGAACACAGTATATATGTACAGTTATATATACTTCTCTCTCTCTCTACATATATATATGTATAGTGAGTGTGGCTTAGTACTAGCACACAGCATGTCTCCTGCCCCAAGGAGAATTAACTTCATTTTCAGCAGTTACTGAGGAGTTAAACACATTGCAAACCAGCTTGCCCAACAATGGCAGGAAAGATGGTCTCCAAAATGCTGTGTCATAGGGGCCAAAGGGAATGTTGGTGATGGGAGTTGACCTCCCTGTCAGAGTTTCTCCGACCTGAAGAATGATGGATGAGAAAAAGCACTACTAGATGACAAGCATCACGCCCTCCCCATTAGTGTCCTGTTAGGGAAAAACAGTAGCAGTCATTGTTACAAGTGTACTATTGCTGCATTTTTAGAGATTGATTTGTGTAGATTGTGTATATTACCGTTGTCTGATCTTGGGTAGGGGGAACATATGTAATGATTCAATACTGTTTAACTGTACGTCAGTGAAATATTGCTTATTTATATTCAGAGATTTACCATGTTAAAGAGGCATCTTGTATTTTCTTTCCATTTGTAATGTATCTTATTTATATATTAATGAAGTAAGTTCTGAATACTGTTTATGGTATTTTCGTGCATTTGTGAGCCAAAGAGAAAAGATTGAAATTAGTGAGACGTGTATTTATATTAGAGTGCCCTTAAAATAATGATTTATGCATAAGTGTACTGTCTGTAAAAGAATTCTGATACTGTACATAGAGTCATATATATTGATATCCTATTACTTCAAAAACATCTGCTCTTCTCTTGCCTTCTGTCTGGCTGTATGTCTGGTGTTCTCAATGCTTTTCTAGTAATTGCTGGAAATAACTAGATCTCCTGTAATTTTGTAGTAGTTCATGACCAATCTCTGTGACTCACTTAGCTGAAACCTAAGGCAATGTTTCTGAAGAACTTCTGAAGATCTCTGATAAACTACCAGTTTCACAACTGTTTTTGAAGAAACGAAATCTACACTGTGCGTTTTAGAGTATACAAGAAGAACGTAAATAAATATATTCTCCATGGAGAATTTGAAAAATATTTCTTCTCACTTGTATTTCATATAAAGAAAGATTTTGAGTTATAATTTTACTTAGCCCATTCACTTTCCACTAGCTAAGTTTAGGTGATGCTCAGTGTCTTCATTAAGCTAAGATTCAACCTGTTGTCATAGATCCTGAGCCCCTCATCTATAAAAACAATCAATCATCTATATTGATTTTAGTTAAATAAAATTTGCTGTTCAAGCCTTAAGAAAAGTTGACCCCACTTCTCATTTTCCTATTTATAGCTTGGAGTTCCATTCATTCAACAAGTATTTTCTTTCTCTATATCAGGCACCGTTCTGGGCACTGAGGTTACAGTGTTGTGCATGGCAGACACATATTCCTTCTAGTGAGGACCCTATATCATTTGGTGTCAGTGATCTCTGAATGTGTGTAAGATCACAGACTCATACCTTCTTACTGCATTTTCTTGTATAATAGTCCTAATTCATTTCCTCAGGAAATGTATTTTGGAGTTGAATTATTAGAAAATAGGGCCAAATTTCTATGATATTCTATTAAGTGATAATAAATATTATCTTATTCATACAAATTCATATTCACTGCATACTAATGTTTTGTGTGAACAATGGTTTCGTTTGACTTGAGTAAATTGCCAGGTGTAGGATTCCTAGATTATATGGTAAGAGTATGTCTAACTTTATAAGGAACTGTTAATCCATCTGCCAAAGTGGCTGCACCATTTTGCATTCTCACTAACAATGCACACATTTTTCATTTACTACATATTCTTGCTGACATATGGTATTGTCAACTTTTTTTTTAAAGAAATGAAGCACTCAGGCTGGGTTTGTGGCTCAGCAGTAAAGTGCTTGCCTAGCACTTGCCTCGGCATTGGGTTTGATCCTCAGAACCACATAAAAATAAATAAATAAAATAAAGGTATCGTGCCCAACTACAACATATATATATGAGAGAAATGAAATGAAACACTCTACAAATTGTAATGTATGGTTTTAGTTAACTTTTGCATGATGCACTTTGGAAGGATTCCACTGGAGCCCTTCACCTTGGATGCAGTCAAGGTCTCTCTTCTGGTGACCAATTAGGACACAAACCCTTTGTCCTGAATCTGTAGCAGTCTCTGCTGTCCGGACCTTAGTTGGGAGTCCCTCCCCTTCAGGCACTTCTCTTGAGTGGGATCATTTTTATTTAAAATCATCCCAGATTATATAAGGAGGATTTTTTTTTAACACACATACATAGGATAAAGACTAAAAATAATGTTATCTATTGCCATCTACCCTAGCTGGTGACTTAATGCTGGGCTCACAAAATCTGACTATTCCAATAACTTAAGAAAATGGCAAAGAAGAAAGCACACAAGCACACAGAAGTACCTTTTCAATAATCCAGGGACAGCTCTGAGACCTTCGAGGTCCATGGAAAGAGAGAGAGCCACTGGAATTCTTTATTCTTATATAGGAGACACACAAGGAAAGGTTCCATGGAACATTCTATCCCCAAAAGGGCAAAGGGGTAGGATTACAAAGGAGCAGGTGAGTGTAACTCAACCCCAGTGGGTGACGTCTAGTCCTGGAGCCACGCCTTATTATCCTAGCAGGGGTAATACCCAAGTTCCTGCGACCTGGCACTACCGTGCCAGACTGAATGCAATAGTTGTTCAGAACCCCGTGCATCAGGACTTGAAGTCATCTGCATCCAGGGCAGCTCCCGACAGTTATTGTTGAGTCCCCACTACTCAGCCTAAGATACAAAACATCGAAGTACCTTAGAGCTCTCCAACCCCATCTTGTACCCTTCCCTAATGGGATGCTACCCTCTCCCCAAGAAGTGATCACTAGTCTGAATTTTGTGCTATCACTCTTTTCTCTATGTAGTTTTACCACATATATAGACATTGTCGTTTAGTTTTGCTGGGTTTTGAACTTTATGGAAGTGAAATAAAACATAATTTATTACTTCTGTGACTTATCTTTCTATTCAACATTATAATTTTGCAAGTCCAGAGCTAATCCATAGAGACTTGGTGCAGTTAAAAAAAAAAAAAAAAAGGTACTCCTTCCTTCAAGAACAAGCTTCCCTGTGCCAGTGGAGGTGGAATAGATTTTAGTGCCTACTCAGTCCATTGGCACAACCTGAATGAATGCACAGCTGCATGTGGAAGCCCCATGTTGGGATTCACCTTCAACAATTCAGTTTTATTGCTGTCATGCTATTGCAGTGCATGGGTACACTTCACTTTGTCCATTCTCTAAGGAGTGAATATATGAGGTTTTCCAGGTTTTTTGCCCTCAGGCACGATGTTATTATGAGCATTCTTATATTTGTTTCCTGACAGCCATATACAAAAGATTTCTAAGCAGGGAAATGGTTGGGGCAGTGTTGTTGAACTTTATTGAACGAAGCCGAGCAGTCATACCAAGTGGCACTACACTCAGCAATGCAGTTGTTCCTCACCCTCACTTGGCCTTAAACTTTTCCCAATTTGGTGGGTATAAAATCATATCATATATGGATTTAGCTTGTTTTTTTTTTTCTGATTACAAGTGAGGTTGAACATCTTTTCACATTATTATGAACTTTTGTTCTATAAGATGCATAGATCATACCCATTGTCCAATTTTCAATTGAATTATCTCTTCTGATTCTTTAACTCTTCTTTACATATTTCATATACTGATTTTTTAAAATTATGTGTTTGGTGAATTTCTTCTCCTAGTTTGGGACTTGCCTGTTTGCTCAACTAAAATGGTCTTTTAAAAACAAGTTCTTGCCTGGCATGGTGGCACATGCCTTTCATTCCAGTGACTTGGGAGGTTGAAAGCAGGAGGATGAAAGCAGGAGGATGAAAGTAAGCCCCAGCTACTTAGTGAGATTATGTCTCAAAATTAAAAATAAAAAGGACTGGGGATATAGATCAGTGGTAAAGCACTCCCGGGTTCAATCTTTTTTTTTTCAACATTATAATTTTTTTTATTGGTTGTTCAAAACCTTACAGAGCTCTTGACATATCATGTTTCAAACATTAGTTTCAAGTGAGTTATGAACTCCCATTTTTACCCCAAATACAGATTGCAGAATCACATCGGTTACGCATTCACATTTTTACATAATGCCATACTAGTGACTGTTGTATT